GCAGTTTAATATCTACATGAAGTATAAGGGAGCAGACATCAGCAACAGAATTCTGCAGTAGCATCCTATACAGACTATCTGGCATACAGGTTAAACTCTGTTGAAGTAAGTGCACTGGCTAACAATTAGCTACCAAACCAGGTTTACCTTGGGCATGTAAACAGTCTCTTGAGAGATCACTTGAGAGATCATTTCCCCCAGTAGAGACCTGCACAATCAGTAAGATTAACAAAAGGCAATCTGCTACATTTGCTGTGATTTAGAGCCTACAATCTTGTAGTCTCTTGTCCTCTTTGTAGTAGTACCATCTGTATAGATTACTTCCCTTGGTATCCGTGAGGTGCTTATTACTATTTAATAATTTTAATTCTAGTATTTGTACATTGCTTTAAAATCATCCTGGTTAAAAATCATTCTAATCCACAAAAACTCATTCTGAGTACTGTAAATGTAAGAATGCAGGACATAGGGTTCTAGAATTTAGCAAAGTGAATTCATGGTTCACTGCAGCCTGTTTTAAGCAACCAAAACACAGGTTATATCCCTGAGTGTGACTGCTTGGAAAACACTGGAATACAATTGAGAATATACTAGAAAACGCAAGATGGGGAAGTAGAATCCAGTCAGTCAGTGCAGTGTGGGGACCAGTTCATGAATTACTGATGTCAGATGTACATATTAGATAAAAAATTAAAGGGAGAAGATATTTAAGATAATTTAAAAGATTTTATTTTGTTTTATTAATAACAGCAGGTTTGTTTTGAAGGTAGCTCATGTCAGAATTTGAAAATAAAGCCAATGGATATACTGGAACATTTGGTTATTCTTTGGAGGATTCTTTACAATGAGTAAGAAGCTACTGTTAATAACAGAGTTTGGAGAAACACATGGCTCAGAATAATGTAGGGCAGTGTTTCTCAACCTTGGAAGCTTGAAGATGGGTGGACTTCAACTCCCAGAATCCCCCAGCCAGCGCTGCTGGCTGGGGGATTCTGGGAATTGAAGTCCATCCATCTTCAAGCTACCAAGGTTGAGAAACACTGATGTAGGGAGTAAAGAGAAGGACCTATACTGTCCCTGAACTTGTTTAACTTACACTGATTATAAGAATAGTGGTGTGGGCGAGCGGGCTGCTCAAATTGCCAGCACCTGTGTTGCTTCTGGCCCTTCTCTTTAAGCCCTTTCCTGTGTGACTGCACAGCAGTTGCCTATAAAAGCTTTGCTGAGAAACAGCTGAGGGTGTGTGCTGAGAGGAGTGGCGGAAGTGGGAGAACTGTTTGTGTGTGGAAGTGAAGAAGCAGCTGCAGCCAGAAAGGGATGTTTCCAATAGCAATACTCACAATGAGTAGGAATAGCAGCAGTAATAGGAAGAGTGGGGAAGAGTGAGTAGTGACTATAGTAGTATGTGAATGCTTGTGTGTGTTGTCTAGGGACCTGTGCTGTTGTTGGCTGTCTTGTGGCTTGAGCACACCTAATTGTGTGTAGTTTTTTTTTAAAAAAATCCTATGACAAAGTAGTGGCAGTGGTGGCATGTCCCAAAAGGCGTGGGATGCAGTGGTGAAATCCATTTTTTTTACTACCAGTTCTGTGGGTGTGGCTTGGTGGGCATGGCAGGGGAAGGATACTGCAAAATCTCTATTCCCACTCCACTCCAGGGGAAGGATACTGCAAAATCTCCATTCCTACCCCATTCTGGGGCCAGCTAGAGGTGGTATTTGCGGGTTCTCCGAACTACTCAAAATTTCCGCTATCGGTTCTCCAGAACCTGTCAGAACCTGCTGGATTTCACGCCTGGTGGGATGGGATATCCAAACCTTAGCTGCAAAAGGAAGTGAGATTGGCCCTTGCAGAGTTCAGGCTTTACAGGCAACAGGCAACAATCCTGGCTGCAGAAACTGGACCTCTCACTAGAGCCTGCACCAAACAGGAATGGAAAAAGTAGAAGGGGCAGGTTCTCCCTTAAAAGAGATAATTATTTTGGTAGAGACAGATATCTACCCTAGCCAAAGAAAAGGTAGACCAGGCAGAAAAATGGCTAACCTCAGATATCATTGCAGGAATGTTGAGACAACAGCAAGTGAAAAGGCCCTTTTAAAAAGAAAGCTTTTGAAGGGAGACTGAAAATACAGGCTGGAATGGGAAGAGTGAAATGGAGGCAAGGAGGGAAGAGTGTCCACTCACCAGGATGGGGGGGGGGCATTCACCTCACCTCTAGGGTTTTCAGAACATACAAAGAAGAGAGATGGTCCCAAAGATATCAAAATCCCTAGGTTAACAGAAGAGGAAGATACAGAAAGCTTTGTCATGCTTGAAAGAGTTACTACCTCTTCTAAATGGACTGTGAATGAATGGGTGGCCAGATTAGCCCTATGTTTATCAGGAAATGCTCTCTTTTAACAGTCTTTCAACCAGGGGAGTAATGTATAGGATTGCTTCTTTAATATGATAATCCAAGTATTATATAACTCCTTACACCTATAGGCAGAGGATTAGGAACTACACAGATGACGAACAGGAAGGGATTCATGTATTGTGGGGAAAATGGGAAGACCTAGGTAGGAAATAGTTGAGGCCAGAAGAAAGAAGCAAAGAAAAATTGGGAGAAGTAATTTTAAAACAGTTTCTACATGTACTCCCTACCAAAATGAGATTTTGGGTGCAAGACCACCACCCAGAAATAGGTCAAAGGGCAGCAAAAAGATCAGAAGAGGTTTGGAAGACATAGCAGAAAGAATAAGAAAGCCTGTTTCAGAAAGTAGGAAGAATTAAGATCTGGAAAGGTTAAAGGAGAAAGGTCTAAAGAAGCCTTTAGCCCCTACTCAAATGAAAGGAAGGCCTTTGATAAAAGATTACTTTTAATGATGATGTCTGTATATTTATGTTTTTAAATTGGCTGTACACTGCCCCGAGTCCTTCGGGAGAAGGGCGGTATATAAATAAAATTAACATTAACAACATTAACATTAACCCAAGCTGTGTGTGAAGCCAATATTGAAATGGCCTAATTTTAACCAACCCTTTGTCCAACAAATAGACATATCTAACGGGTTTAGGCATAGTGCTCACCATAAATCATGAAGGGATGGACAATCCTGTAATTTATCTCTCAAAGAAGCTCCTCCCAAGAGAACAAAAATACAGCACCATTGAAAAAAGAAGCCTGTGCACTAAAATGGGCAATCAATACTCTACGTGTATATTTATGGGGTTGGGAAGTCATTGTAATACCCATCAACCACTTACTTGGCTGAAACAAATGAAAGATACCAATTCACAGCTAACCCAAATGGTGTCTCACATTACAACCTTGCGAGTTCAGTATCGTATATCAAGATATGGACAGCAAAATGTCATTGCTGATTTCCTACCATGGCATAGAAAAGACACAGAAATAAATGGCATTAGCCCCATTAAAAACACAGGGTTGATTTTTTTTTTTTTTTATTAAAAGAGATGGGGTATGTGGTAGGGTGTTTAAACAATTTCTGTGCTGCTTCTGTCTCTTCTCTTTAAGCCTCCTCCCCAGTGTCAGTACGACAGATGCCTATAAAAGCTATGCTGTGAAACAGCTGAGAATGTTGGGAAGAGGTGTTTGTTGGAAGTAAAGAGGCCAGAAAGAGATGTTTTCTCTAGCAGTATTTATGAGGAGTAGGAATAGCAGAAGAGCGAGTAGTATTGAGTAATAGTATGTGTGTTGTCTAGGGAGCTGTGCTGCTCTGAGTTGTTTGTTTCTTGAGCCGACCAAGCTAGGTATAGTTTAAAAGAAACTGACAGGCAGAATTGAAACTTAGAATCAAATTTGGAGGTTAGACACTAATGAAATATGCAGAGTATGCAATTTTATTATCTGAAAATAAAAATGATTCAGAAGAGCTCATTGTGAAAGTAAAAATGGGAAATGAAAAATCTGGGCTAATATTAAATAACAAGACAACAATTGTCAACCAGCATGCTTAGTGAACCCACAATGAAGAAAACAGACACTTATGAGGTTTTTTTTGTGTTCAGCAACAAAAATGGGTATAAAGCATTAAAAATGAGATTAGTCCTAGGGAAGAATGCAATTTACAAATTTAAACAAGGTAATGAAGGCTAAGGACATTGCCATGACAACAAAAATCAGAGTAATTAAAGCAATGGCTTTTCCAGTAGCTGTACAGTATATGGCTGTTGAGTAATAAGATACATGTCTTTAAATTATGGCTTTTAGAGTCTGTTAAGTCAGTTGCTAACAGAGCAATGGATTGGGAGAAACATATTTTGGTCATGTGATATCAGCAGGTGATAATTAGAAAAAGATATTTTCCAAATATCCTTTGAGGGAAGCATAAAAAGGGAAGGGAAATACATAAAATTCGAGTGGACCAAAGACATTATTGGAATGTCACTGAAAAAGATGTGGATCATCACATGGGACAGGACTGACACAGTTGGCAATCACCAAGTTCTGACTCAAAAGTTTGTAACTCATAAACAAGCCGTGTTCTTTCATTACTTCATTATTTGAATTGTATTTCTTAGAATTGCTCCCACCTATAATCTGAATTAATGTAGCCCACTTGTTTCAATGAACTAATAAATTCTTCATAGTTCTTCTTTAGTCATGTTATTTTGTTTATAAAAATAACTTTCATGGAAACAAATGGTATAAATACTACGTAACACTAACTGTAAAACATCAATATTTTCAACAGGTCCGCTGCATGTTTGAGATCTGAGAATGGAAATCAGAGGTAGAGTGTCGCCGACACACTAGTGACATTTCAGTCCAAATCTTTTGGTTTTTGGAAAAACTGACAAGAGCCACAAAGGCGATAGAGTGGGCCACAACTCCATTTTCCCACTTTTAAGTGATCCTCTGAGAGTCAGAAAATTATTTTCTCTAAATATTAGAAAGGACAAAAGCAAAGCACTTGAGATATGTATTTAAGTATGTAAGAATATGTTCCTATGAAGTTTCTTTTTAATCCCAACACAACATCAACACTAAGTTATGTTGATAGGTTTACATTATTTTTAATGTCAAATATTAAAAGCAGAGAAACATTTAGAGAATAAAGAAACTTTATTTTATAACAGTATTATGCAAGCAAAATATCACTTAATACAACTTCAAGCTGCTATAAATTTAATATGGCATCTTAACTATACAGTTCATATGGTGAACAATGGAGAAAAATGGATATAGTCAACAGGTTTTCATAGAGACCTCCTCAGTAGCAGGCACCACTGATAATGGGCCTAAGGCCATACCCTTGGTTCCTTCTGGTTCTCAAAACCTGTTCCTATTATTAGGCAAGCTACTTAAACAATAACTGCTCAACAAATGTCAGTTATAACAGGAGTTAATGAGTTTTTATTAGGGCTGGGCAGCACTTAAGATTCAAAGACAAAAAGGCACTTCAAAGAGTCCGAGAGAGAGACCGTCTATGGTGCTGGACTGTAACTCTTTAAGTGAGATATGTCTATTCCTGGGATCGTACAGACAAACCTATGGAAAAATCTTGCTTTGTTTAAGGAGTTGCAGAGAGATATTCTGCCTGCTGCTTTCAGTGTGTGCTCTGAAACACTTTCTGCATTTGAATCAGAAGCGCTGCCAGCCCTGGTTTTTTTAGGCAAAGCAACCTTTTTCTGCAGATACATTTATATAATGGGAGTATCTGACATTTAACATACTAAGAGGAAAGTGTTAAGTTTTAAGCTGCCTAAATTTGCTGGAAGGACAGAGCAAAGTCCTTCCAACTGTGGAATGTTGCAGACCCCTATAGGTCTCTCTCTGAAGGGACTGGCTGAGGACAGTGAAGTGCAAACAAAAGGCTACTTGAACAGTGGTTGGTCAGTAGAAATATTTTTTTTTATAACTAAAACATCGCTTCTATATGATATCAGCACCAGTTCCCTCAAAAAAATAGGAGATCATCAGAATAAACAATTTTTTTTATATAGGAATCTATATAAAATCATACAGATTTTCAGTTTACTTTCCCTGCCAAGCTATAAGAACATTTTGTATTTTTTAATAAAAAGAATATTTTTCTTGTATTGTTTGATATTTATCTGAAAAAGTAAAATTTTTCCAGTTAAGTCTTTGAGACATTTTTGAAAAGTCTATATCTAAATTAGTCAGGGTTCCTTTTCCCTGCATATTAAAATTGCTTAAGTAAACAGTGCTTTCTAAATATTTTTGCTTACTTTCATGCAAACAAGAAATCAGTTATACAAAAATAGCCGGGAATTGAACACAAAAAAAATTCTCTATACCTCATTTAAAAAAAAATCCAAGAATGTTAAAAATCAGTTATAAAAACAAAGACATACATTAAAAACTGTAAGGTTGGTAATTCGGTCTAGAGAAGTTTGGTCCCTGTGGTGAGGCTTGGTGAATTCAGTGAAAGACTGGCTGGGATATCAACTTGGAATTATTTAAGTTCTTCATAGTCTCAAAGCATTCTTCAGAAATCTAAAGAAGCAAGCAATTTAATACAATTATTGTTATAAATCTTAAACTATATTAAAACATTTTTTACTAAATTGCCTTTTTTCCTCTTTTAAAAACAGTTTTCCTTTCCAAGGCCTCATGCAATATTTTTCCAATAAATTTCGGACTATAATTGGTCCAACCACCATTGAACTGGAGATGGACAGAACCTGCTACTTTATTCTATAATTAAAAATAGCAGTATTATACTTAAGAGTGTAGAACCTAAAACCCATCTATTGTTAAAAGTCCTCTTTAGATAACTCCTACTTTTGGAAATATCTCCTGTTTGTTTTATTTATTTTTAAAATTATTTGCTGCCAATCTGGCCTCAAGTTACTAAAGCAACCACTAGTCAAATGGTAAATTTCCTCTCATCACCAATGTATCGCAAAATAGAATATAGGATATGAAAATTAAAATCACTAGGTATAACATAATTTTTAAGGTAGGCATGCCCAGTTCTGCCTGGCTTAAAGTCAGAGACAAAGTCAGGTATTACATGTTACTACCTCTTTCCACATCTGGGTAATTTTGGAAAAGCTTTGGTGGGAACAGAGAGACTTGATTTCTGCCAATCTAGACCACAAATTGCTTTGAAATCTGGGAATCTCTCAAGGTGCTGTCATACTAATCCACAATTCTAAGGACAGGAATATAATGGATACTTCCCTGACATCCAAATATAGTTGTGACTTCAAGGCAGGATCAAGAGCTTTTTACTACTTAATTTATAGTAAAGTCAATAATCAGAATAGGATGCAAGAGGTAATGCTTTGCCTCTGTTATGCAGAAAATTGGTAATAATCTTTTTTAGTATTATCTACATTAAAATTCAAGGCTTGCAATTTAGAAAACACAAAGTTAGCATAAAGCTCCACGTTTCCATCAAGATCACTGGTAACGCTGGAATACAGTATACTGTTCTTATACTGTTCTAGCTTATGAATATTCAATTTGATATGTCAAAATTATTTGAAAATCCATATTATTAATTCACTTAAAGCATTTACATGCCATTTAAAAAAGGCATGTTGTTGACTCTAATAATGCAAAACTTTCTTACCACACATTGGATTTTTTTTTTTTAAATGTTGAATACCATCTGAAGGTTAGTTCCAAAAGTTTATGAGCTGTGTGATAAATAGTCATACACAGGAAAACCTGCCTAGTTATTATTAAAAAGGCCTGTGTGGCTTTCACATGAAGGATAATGCTTTCTAAGAGCTGTGTTATTTAGGACGATGGTAAAAACATGATTCTTTCATCAGAAGTTTGTTGATTATTCTAATGATCATTTTAAACTGATTATTTTTACATTTTTACATTTTCTTTGTTGCTGTGAATGCTGGAGTAAACACACAGAGTATTATGATATATATAATGTGTCTATGATACACACACACACACACATATATATATATATATATATATATATAGTTTAAGTAGGATTTAAATCTTCCTGGATAAAGAAAACAAAAAATACTATAAGTTGGAACAGAAGATTGCATGATATCTTCATGGACAAATATTTAATATACCACTAGGTGGCATCAAATATTTTGATAGTATTCTCAATAGACAGGGTTTTTTTTGCCATTTCTCCATGTTTTGATACTGCAAACTGCCTCCATACCTTTTCCCTTTTTCTCTCCTGTATGCGTTTCCTGAACCATTCTTTTTTTTTTTTTTTTTTAAAGGAAAAATACAATCACTGCAAAATCAGAAGATCCATTTACCTACCATAAGGAGTATGCAAGTTGAGGTTTTCATATGGCTGGTATCAACAATCAGCATTTCTAAAGCGGTTATGAAGAATTTTTCCTACAACTGTTATATCAACGATTTCTGTATACATTATGGGCTGAAGATTCATACCTTAATGGCCTTCCTCTTCAAGTTCACTCTCCTTATGCACCACTACTCTTGTTACAGACATGTCAGGGTGCTGCTCTTTGGCTTCCTTAATGGCTTGTGCCAATGCCTGCAATGCCAGAAAAATGGACTAATTATATGGCAAATTAAAGTTAACAGAGTTTAATGTGTAATGGCTAGCAAAGCTTTAATGCTTATCTTCCTGGAACAATTTAAATTAAATATTAAACTAAGCATATCATTCCCGTAATAAAACAACCAACTGTAGAACAAAAAAAACTTTTAAAGTGTTATATTGAAAGCTATAAATACAGTACATTTATAAATTTGCTGAATGATATCAAATGTTTTAAAGTATTAAAAATTGTACTTTCCAATATGCCTTGTTCTAATGTTTACCCTGTTTTTCCTACTTGAGCTGATCTACAATCTCAGACTAATGAAATACAGTTTAGCAAACAAATGGCAATTGGAAGAGTTAAATGTTTTTTTCTTGTTCATCATTTCTACTCTATAATTTTGTCCTTCTTTCTCCAATTTGTGCTAATGTGGTAAACTGCAGAATTTGGAAAATGTGTTCCAGAACACTAGATAATAATTTGACTCTAAAATTTTACTTATTGGTGTGGAAAAGGTCAGCAATCTCCACATAAACCCTAACCCTAAGCCAAAATTAATAACTACTTTCTATATATAGTTACCCTAAACTTCAGCTGAAAAAAATGCAAAAACAAACCCTAAGGAACAGCTCAAAGAAATATACGGATGGATATATTTTTTTTCTCTGCCTGACATTTCTTTAGCAATAAATTTTTCAAAATGCATGGAAACAAAAAGAATACAACTGTATAAATAATGATTCCTATTTAAAGGTCTATCCCAGAAACAATGACCGGCATACTACTGAAAAAAGCACCCATGTATTTTACACACACACACACACACACACACACTAAACATTTATGGATTAAATTCATACAAATGCATAGGTCCAACGGTAAAATTACTTTACAATGTCATAATTTTATAGACTCCTAAATAGAGATGATAATTTTAAATGTTATTAAAACAAACATGTCTGACTTTTTCAAATTCCCCAGCCATACTGAGCATGTGTTGGGAAGGATATCCCTCAGATCTAATGCTAAGCAGTTCTGCCATTTCATTTCAAGCTTCAAGAAGAGATTGAACTTGTCACATCCAAATCTCAGATTAAATTTATTTGGAGGCCTTGATACATTACCATTAAGAAGTTAAAATTAAATCCTGGTTACATTTATTTATGAAGAGTTTAATAAGGACATGCTATGAGTTTAATGAACATTCATTATTTTTTTTTGTTTTTCTTTTATCTACAATAATCAATATTTTTGTAAACAAAGCATTTTGCAAGTTAAATATTTTAACTATTGTTCATGTTATCATAAATTCCAATTCTTATACCTTATATGTATTCTTAAATCTTCCTTTCCTCCATATATAATTCCTTCATTATAAGCATTCATTTTGTCTCACCTGATCATGATCAAGATCTGCATCTCCCGTGATAACAATACGCTTTTCGATTCTGGTTTCTGACACACCATCTTTTACCATCTACAGGTTTCACCAGAAAAGGTTTATTTAATGCTATAAAGCTGTGAATTTACTTGACAAATATTGCAATGAAAAAGATATTTAACAGCAATCTATCTGTGCAAAATTAGAAGAGCTACAACACACACTTCAAATGCCGTTGGGAGTAAAGTTAATGCATTGTCACTTCTAGATTAATATTCCTGCTATCTAAAACTGTTTCTGCTACAAGTGCATTTTATTGATAACTGCAGTCATTCCTAACCTCTCTTCACCATACCCTCCTCTGAATATTAGGGAAAAAGATGGCTACAGAACTGTTAATGGTATGTTAAAATGTCCAGGTGAAAAAGAGTTTGGAACCATTTTGATATTTTACCAGCCTATCATTTAAAAAGCAGAATTAAAAATGTGAATTAAAATAGTTCTTGCCTAGAAAATTTAATTGTGCCAAAATCAGGGCATCCAACACTTCTGTCTTCACTAGCCAAATAAAAATAGGCCTCATAGATGAAGAGATAAAAATAGGTTTTTGCCGCCATCCCATCAACTTGTGGCTATTTGTTTGATCACTGGCTTCATTTGATTCATATTTTTATCAAGGACAGAGGAGGGAAGGGGAATTCTGTTCAAAGGGGAGCTTGAAACCCTTTCTGAGATGGAAACCCATAAAAGAGGGACAGATTGGGCTCTTGAGCTATATATACCATTCCCTATGCCAGATTAGAAAGAGCTTTTTTTCTACCAGTTGCCTAGTTTTTATTAAGTTATTTGGAAATTAACATTTCCTAGAAAGTTCAGAAACAGTAAAATAGTTGGGGACGGGGGAGGCAAAAAAAATAATCTACTCTACTTTAAGATAGTCAGCAAAGTTCCATCGTTGCAGAGCTTTTGGAATACTCTTCTGTAAATTCTTGATTGGCTGCAACTTTTACAGAATTTTTATCAACTAATCTATAGGAGCATGGCGGCTCACATGACTAGGAGACTGGGTTGGAGGTTAGCAAGCATGAGTTCAAGACCCGAGTGCTGCTGTGGGGCAGATGAGCTCCTGTCCTTCCCTCCAGCTCCTGCCAGGGACAGGAAAGCCTCCAACTGGGCATCCTCCAGGCAAAGCTGATGTCATTGGTTAATTCTTTCAACCCCACAAGTGCCATGGTGCTTCTGATATGAGTGTGATACAATCAACTTGCTCTGTTGCTCATTAAATATTATTTCACTTTTTATTTCTGACACAGGTCCATACTTTTATTAAGTTAATATATTATTTTGTATATTACTTAAATAATTTTATTGTGCAGTATCTATAGAAATATTTGCTAAAATACTAAAAAAAGGAAACGCCTTAGCAAGAACTATGTTTCTTAGCATACAGTAACATACAAAACTATAAAGAATCTTCCAAAGCTAGTATTCATGCATGAGAAGCCAACTACACAACCCATCTCTAACCAAGCCAATTACTATTAAAATAAATATTCTTTATGGAAGCATAAACGTATCACAGTGAGCAAAAATGCTTATGTAAATGATTACTGGCTTCATGCATTCTCTTATAATAGCATATTAAAGCAAATTTGATGCTTTATTTACATGAAAATGCAAATATGGCTTCCAACTCCAGTTAGGAAAAGAACAAGGACCATTACGAACTGAGATGCCCCCAAAGCAGGAGGAATCAAATAGAAGCAATTAAACTTGTTCATATAAACCAGAATTATAAAGCTCAGAGACTCAGAAAAAAAACTGAGTGACAAAAAACTTCAACACTCTTAAATTATTTCTTTTCTCCTACCTTAGTAATATGTGTAGTTGTGGTAGTAGAGACCGATTCTGATGTGATTGTCTGCGCACTCAACAACATACCAGCATCACCACCATCATCAAACTACATAGGCAAGAAAAGCACATACTGATTAAAAATTAAATAAAAACACAAATTTATGATTTTTTAAAAGCAGAATCAGTCTGGTAAGAAATCAAATGCTGCCTCTCATCAACTAGATTGCATTTAAGCACAATATCTGCTTATATCCTGATTATGAAAGCAATGCCATTTCTTCTTTGTGACCTGAGTAGTAAACAGTATGATTTTCGGACAGAAAAATATCCAATTCCAATCCTTTTCAATTTGTGAGGCCTAAGATATCAATGTGTAGTTGATTTATTTCATCTTTCATTATGTTGAGCTTTCCCATGTTTGTGCTTCTTCTATTTCATGATTACTCAATAGTTCTCTTTGCAGAGAATTCAGGTATTATTTCCTGTTAGGTAAAATCAATGATTAGCTATCCCGAAGACTTGAATCCATCAGTGTCATTGAACAACACAAATACTCCAAAATACCGTCAACAGATACTCCTGGCATACACTCTGGACATTTTTTGTGCATGTTTTTTCAGGCACATCCCACCACTACCACTACCACCACTATGAGGCAGCATAGCAGGAACTTGAGGAGGAATGATTCTATAGAAGAGTTCAATTTATCAAGGAACAGAACAAATATGTCTTGTGCTGGGGATATACGAAGAGGGAAGCGCTTATAGCGAGTAATGTAATGTAAAGATAGGCTGGTGACAGGGCTTACAAACAGGACAGTAATGTTGCAAATGTACTAGGCATCCCGATTTGTTTAGACAGGCTAATGCACAGTGTATGGAAGAAATCAGTAAATGTGATATAACTTATTCTGTCATCTATATAGGATAAAAAGCAATTATTTCTCTCAAACATTTGGGAAGTATATGGAAAGAAAGCCATGACTGTTGTAATCACAACTGTTGTGATTTCTATCTTCTTAAATTCTTATCTAGATAGGCAGCATTCATTAAATGTAGCTATTTTAATTTAAATATCTGTACCTGAGGAGATTCATAGGTGATTGTTTTAGTCTCTGTCTGAACAATTGGGACTTCTTTGGTGGATATTTCAGTTCTTTGTGAAGCATCTGAAATCGTCACCATCTCAGTTTTAATAAGTGGAGGCTAGTGTTCAGAAAATACAGAAGGCTATATTCAAAAGTCATGAAACAGTGAAGTATACAGCATATAGACTACAACCAAGCTTGACATGAGAAAATAATGGTTATTGTAAAGATATCTTCTATTTTTAAAAGTCAAATCTTAACACCAGGTGCACAATCCGGACAAACAATAGTATCAATAACCTACCTATAAAACATTTTCAAACTATATTAGTAGATATTCCATTCTATATTAATGGATAATGTTAGCTTATTAAGGAAAAAATATGTCCAAGTTCTTTAAATATGTAACTCCAAAAATACCTTAAACAAGAATGAAGAACAGAATAAATCAGGCATTGTTTGGCTTTTCAATATACCAGTAATGCCTGACCAGGGATGGTCAAGTAAAATCTACTAAAGATGACATTCAGTTATGAATCTATGCTGCTTAATCCCTGCACCTCCATATACTCAGATTTAGCCGATTGGCACTATTGTTTTTTTGACAAGAATGCTCACTACACCTATTATGTGTAATACGATACTTTAAGTTGTTTTACTCCCTATCATTCACTATAATTTGACTGTATATTTTGGACTCAGAAAACTTTGATTTATCACCTATTGTAATAAAGTCATTACGGATCTGCTAAATGATATAAAATAATGAGAAGTGTAAATGCAAACAGCAATAATCTGATAATTATCACATCAATGATGCTTTATGAAGCACAAATATCCATGTACGAGTGAAGTGACATTGTGCCAAGCTTTAAACAGTAACTTTTCACAAATGTTTAGAAAATTTTGTGTTTTAAGAGATAAATATCATATTAAACATGCTGGCTGTTTTTGCCATACACCTTATAAAGCTTCATATTTTGTCATGAAAGATCAATCAACTAAATGTTTGAAGACTCATAAAGCATGCAAACAGAAGAGGAACACGAGAAACTTAAAAAAAGAGAAAAAAAAGATGATATAATCCCAAACAAATTCCTTCTGAGAGAAATGAAAAATTTGACTCGCCCAATCTGCAATATTATGAAATCTGAATAAGATAGAGAAGAAGAAAGGCAGAAATATTTGACCCTATGATGAAGACACCTCTGGGTCACTTCCTCTTCTACCATTTACCTCTGAGCAACAAATTAATTGTGGTGAAACATCAATGTCAATATGCAATGCTTCTCCATTTAGTTTGGGTAGATCTTCCTCCTTTTCTTCTTTCAGGTCTTCATCATCCAATCTTCTTAACTTTTCTGATGTGTTTATGGAAGCTTCATTTGTTTGGACCAGAGCTTCAGTCAACTGCTTGTGCTCAATTGCTGTTTGAATTGGATTGACTTCTTCTGAAAATTTAACACAAACTTCTGCTGTTGAGCTCTGTTCTTCCTCTTTGGTAGTTTCATTTTCTTCCAATTCTTCTTTTATAGTATCTTGTATAATCTGCTGGTGTGGCTGATACTCTCCTACTTCATCTTCACTTTCACTACTGCTGCTATTGGATGACAGTGATGAAGAGTCTTTTTTTGCTAGATGTTCCATCTTCTGACTTTCCCCACCACCACAGACAAATGGCATTTTCCCCCTGTTGGTATCATCTGTGACTATTGTCTCTGCTATCCCAACCTCTGCCTGTTTCTTCTCCACTATGTCCAGAGTCTCATGTGAACTCTGCACAAAACAAATGGGTGAGAAAAAACAAAAAGTAGAACACATGAATAAACAAAATAACGAACATAAAACTAAAGGATAGGTGGGTCAGGTCATATGAAGAGCAAAGATGACTTGCAATTGTTAAATGAAAAAAACACAATAACAAACAAAGAAAAGACAAAAGAAGATTTTGAAATGTAAAAGCTCAATGGACTATGGCAATATATTAGAACCTTAATAGTCCTGCTGGTTCCAATGGAAGGTTCTTCTGTTTGGAAAGTAAATTTCTGTGAAACAAAAAAGCAATTGGAAGAGATATAAATACATTTTACACTCAACTGACACAAACATCTGCCTTTACATTTTACAACAGCACAGAGGGGCTGACTATACATTCATACATTTATGGGGCAACTTCGTTAGATCACAAACAAGAACATTGAAAATATATATATAAAAACTTGGGCTGTTGATTCTGCCAGGGCTTCATTATGGGTTATGTTAAACACCAATATAAAATATCTATCTCTCTCTCTCTCTCTCTCCCTCTCCCTCTCTCTCTCTCTCTCTCTCACACACACACACACACACACTCAAATAGTGGTATTAAAATACTATTTCTCTCATAAATAACAAAAGCCAAACCATCCAAGCTAATGCTAACCAGTACAGACTTCATTCAGTCAAATCAAAGAATTGTTCATAAATTTCATACATGTACACACAGTATTAGTTTCTAGTTAACTGATAGGGACTTCTGACTATGTTGCTACAACTACCAAAATATTCATATTTCAGTGAAAGTAACAAGACTTCCTAAATTAATATAATGTAGAAACTATAGAGCTAATGTAGCTCTAAAGAAATGTGAAATTTGTCCATAACAATACTGCATCAGGTGAAATTTATTTAATAATAGAAGCATAAAGCAATATGACTAGAACATAATAATGATTTCCTGCTATACAGAAACTGACATTAATTGTTAACATTAACATCTTTTATGACCTATGCCACAGGTCATACGGTATAGACAAATTAATTAACAGAGCTTAAAAGCTAAATGATATAGAGATATGAGCAAATAGAAAAATTGCATTTTTGTTCAATCTAGCACAGCATGTGTGACATAATAGGGAATTTTGGTTTTAACAAGTATAAAGTTTGATATAGTTGACGTTTATGGGTTTTTTCAAGGCATTATATGTGTGTGTTTATATCTATGTATACACACAAATAGTGAAAAAGAATTTTTAAGATCTACCTCCAAGAAACAGATTTCTGGTAAAATATTTTACATTACTATTCTTTGCTCTACAAAACATATTGCATTTAATATTTCATTAGATTTTTTTTTTTAAAAAAAAATGTAAGTGCCTGTTGTCTAGTCATCTATTCTCAAGGCATTTGGGGAGGTAACTCTGAAATAGCACTGATGGAAAAAGCCCACCATGCAAATGTATTCAGCATATTTTGGTTCCCATTGAACATTTAAGCTTTTCAAAGTAATTTCAGCTTACATATCTTTTAAAATATGATAGGACATTGAATTTATTGGACATAAGCATTTATCTGACATGTTAAAAATTGCCCATCCACCCATCCACAACTCTATGTTTTGATTTGGGAAAAGGAAATGTGTAAGAGCACCTCAGGTAATAGCTGAGAGATGGATGAGGCAGAGTGTTTTTCAGAAGGTACATTATCTTTCCCAACAGCGCCCTCTGCTGTCCACGAGAAAGCTGAAGTGAAGGCAGATTTCATGCTAGTGGAAAACCCCTCTTTACTAAATAAAATGGATGCTATCTCCTCTTCTAGGCTCTAGACAAGTTAGAAAGTGGAAATCAACAAATTAACACTAGAAGACAGAAGTCAGCTGAAAGAAAGAAAAAGACAAAGAAACGGAAATAAAAGGGAAAGATCATGCAAGAAGAGAAATACATAGAATGGTATATTCAAATGTGTTTTCCTAAAGATAGAAATTATTTTACTTCTATACAAAAATATATTTTAAAGTTAATTCAATATTTGCCATTGCTTTTAATCCTCTTCTATTTTTAAAACTATAAATTTCAAACCAAAGCACCCTGACATGGCATGTCCATTAAAATTTGATCACATTTTCAATTCCCCCCATCTATTAGTTGAATTTGTTTAATAAATTTACTCTCATTGTAATATTAATACTACAGTAGGTTCAACAATGAATGTGTGTAATAAACTTGCATAATCAATATGAACCAAATGATTTTATTTTGCTTACTTCTGCAGTTTTACTTAAAATTTTTACCATTTTGCATATATGTACAACACCTCAATATGGAAGATGGACAGTAAGCTGGAGTTAGTTTGTAACACGAATACAGTTGAACTAATGCTAAGTTTTGATAGTCTCTTTAATTATTTTTGAATAAAAAGATTTGCATATATAAAAGAACAAGTTGGATCAAATAGGAGCATTTATCAAACAACTGTAGTCTGTTTCAAAGTACAGCAAAAAAAGTACCTTAAGATATTTGGATAGTCCTTGAAAGAAAGAATTACAGTTTCTGAAGGGGGGGGGGGTAAAACCACAATTTTCTTTAAAAAAATATTTAAGTACTACAAAACATATAACTTCTTTTGTAAAGCTTTAACTTCATTTTCTTGTTAAGGCTGGAAAAGGTCTACATTTACATTTATTGATTAAACTTAGTATATTTGCCATACACCAAAATTTCTCAGTATGTCTAATAGTGATATGTTTAAAATTAAAGTATATCTTGATCAAGATTATATTACAGCATCTTAACATTGCTCTAACAGGTTATTGTAATATTTACTTTTCCTGAAAAGATCCTGTGCTTTCAAATAGGCAAAAGCAGTATGAAATAATTACTGATGTTGCCTCACTTTAATATGCCCCATTTATTTGTGTTTGTGTGTGTGTGTGTGTGTGTGTGCATGCATGCAATTAGTCTCTCTCTCTCTATCTCTCTCTCTCTCTCTCTCTCACACACACACACACACAGAGAGACTTTATAGCAATAGCAATGATAAAATTCAGGAATAAGATTGATCAAATGTGTTATTTATTTATTTATTAAAATTTTATGCTGTCCATCTTCCCTATAAGGTAACTCTGGGAGGCCTACAAGTAAAAAATAATGAACATATTAAAACATTAAAACTACATAGATTAAGATTTTAAAAACGATACTGAAACCAGAACTAAGAGATAGACAAGATGTAGCTTAAGAAACTGAAATAGGAACATTGTCCAACTACATATAACATATAACATTCATGTGCATAGAGTAAAAGACAAGAAAAAGAAAAGAGTGAATTAGAAGCAGATCCTTCAGTTTGTAAACTTTATAGATTTTAGGTAAACTAAGTAAATCTGTTTAAATATGACACATTTTAATACTACAAATAAATTCTAGCCTATGTGAATGAAAATGTATATGAAGGCTAACACTAGTATAGTTATCTCATTAAATGGGTGCCATTAAATGAACTACTACAACATTAGAATTATATTCACTTTCTGCTCAGTAATTTGGTATGTACCCAGATGAAGAAATATAGAACATTATTATTAAGGAAATCCAGATTACTGGAGTTTATGTAATTTTTGCAAAATTATTCCATCACATATATTCTATCACATATGCTGTGCTAGGCAATAGTGGATGAAAATGCTGTTCAGAATACCAAAGATAGTTCATCAAGGACTTTGAGTTTGGGGGAAAAAACAAGTATTCTTCAAACTTAAAAGAACTGCCACTGTGCTGGGGATAGCTTGTTAAAGTTTAAATTGAATATCTACTTAGGAAATTGCTATCTGCAGCTAGAGGGGGAAAAAACAAGACATTGAACAATTAAGTACAGTAATAACAACAGATAACAAGGCCCCAGATGCTTAGAAGTATAGGAATAAAAGATTGTAGGCAGCCTCATTTACCATTCCTTTGTGCTCTTCTGTCAACCAGTAGACCCTTTAGTCCATTCCTATTCCACTGAAGGCATATTCCCATTGCTCTTAGTTTACATTCATTGTGGGAAATTTGTATTCTTTTTTCCAAATCAACATGGAAGAAGAGAGTCAAAGAGCTTTACAAAGGGTCAACCCACAAGTAGAGTACCTCTCAGAAACACAGGCATTGAAATGTATGCAATTTTTGTATTCAAAATCCACAGAAATGTCAAACAAGAATGTCCAGCAAAATGCCGACACAACAGTGAAAAACAGTGTCTTGTCAACTAGCTAAAAAACTTATATGCTATCTTACATGAGAAGCTACATGCTACTTTTCCCAGAATATTCAAGATATGAATGACTGATCTCACTATGTATAGGATATCATTTACACTATACAAACATATCAAATTTATTTTATGAATTTATAACATTGCACTAATATTTTACAGAAAAATGACAAAAAAACTCTAAGTCTCCCAGTGCTTATATATTTTATAATGAAGTCCTGGTCAAATCAAGAGGATAACCCCAAAGTCAACAATTTCAGAACTTCAACGTTCACACAGTTTGAAACTGTATTAGAAAAATGCTATAAAAATATTTGGTTCAAAATTCAAATTCCACTAATCTATACTCAAGTTGATACCAATCTCCAACAAGAATCTCTAAATGCCAACTTATTAAAAGAATATATGTATTTCAAAGTACCCTTCTAAGTTGGTATTCTTATTTTCTACTCAATTGTTAACTATGTTCCCTAATTGAATAGCGAAGGTATTATACTAAAGTTCCATAGATACCCTTAATGCTATTATGTTTCAAGATCTTCTAATATTATAAATCCCTGATACTCTGACTACATTGCATTCTTCAGCAATTTTAAACGTATTAGTTTGTGAGATGGAGAGAAAACGCTGTAAATTATGCTTCTCCCGTAGTTTCCTTTTTCTGATAGATTGCCATTTATTGTAAACAGTGAACCAACAAAGTTACTTAAAATATGATTAGAACTGCACTATTATTCTAATGAGTTATGACCAATAACTTCAACTCTGGTTTCCTTACAATTTGTGAACAAAGCAAAACATGCACACAAAGTTAATAAGTATTAGCTGAAAATAAATCTCACATTAGCAATGAAGAGACGGTTCTTATTTTTCTTATTAATATGAAATAATACATATTGCTTATTATGGAATGCTGACAAGGGTCTTTAATGACATACCCCTTGTGCTTGTAGAGTTAGAGGTGTGATACGCCGTTTTTCCCATTCATTGGGGCGTGGCTCAGGAGTGGATTCCATAAAATTGCGCTTGAGTTCACTAATGCTAGCCTGATGCTTCAGTAATTCATCCTGAGTCTTATCCAGTTCCTACCAATGTGTAATGTAAAAAGAGCAGGGAATTCATACAACAAAGACAATTTTTAAAAAAACACCATGAAAAGTGCCTAATGTATGAAAATATAACAGCAGTTTATCAGGTAAAAAATATTCATTATACCTTTTTTCAGGAAAATAAATACCTTGTTTTTATTTCCATTATAATGTTGAAAATCATGTAATACACATATTTCAAATAAAATAAAAATTTGGTGTTGCTGTACTACTAGCATATTTTAAAGTTTTTATGCATCATGATGTAATCTGCTGCAAAACTGTGGTGAAATGTAGCCTGGATTCCCAGGAGCGAGGGGCTGCATTCTAGAGAACCAAGATACAGTGAAGTTAAGATAGTTTGGTTGAGAGAAAGAGGGTCACGGCAGGTCTTCCTTAGAAGGTTTAATAAAGCAAGTAATTGGTTGAGAAAATGTATGCCTATATGTGAGGAACAATACAAGAATCTCTTAAAAGTAACCCTGCATGTCTTTCTTGGGTTTTGGAACCTGACAAAAACACAGTAACTTGGGCAGGTGGCTGCCAGAGGCTTTGTGCTACCTACTAGAACGAAATAAATTCTACAACTATGAGGAACTGGTGTTTACACAACAAATGAATTGCTGCAGTGAATCTGCATATTCTAAGCTTTCTTACAAGTGTTACCTTGTAATTATAATTGCCTTTGTTATAAATTATAGAATCAGACGATTCATTTTTACATCAGCAAAGCATGCATCATATACATCACTAAGAAAGGGACTGGGAATTAGAGTAGCTTGGCTTAGCTATCAGAGTAAGAGCCAGAATATGCTCTTGCTACAACAGGATCTTTATCAATGAATTTGCATTTATGTGCAGGAATACAATCCACTATAAAAAAAAAAGTAAAATAATTCATTTGGAAATATTTGCTGGAGGAACCATAATCTTTCCTTGTCTGCCAATGAATTTACTAGGAGGAAGCAGAAAATTCCATTATTATCTTTTTTAATAGAACAAAATATAGCTTAATGAAAACAGATGACTTTGTCATCCACCTATTGAGCTTTCAGATGAATTATTTCAAGTATAAACCTGACTTCTGCAGTTCCTTCTAAATGTTATGTCATTGTTAATGACACATGAAAGGGGAGGGACAAAAGCTACTCTGCAATTAATCTGCAAATTAATTTATAAAACAAATGAAATAGTAAGGAATTGGACTGATTAATTTAATTAAACTGGGAAATAACATTCTGTTCTTTTATATTATCCTTGTGGTGATAAAGCTAAGAGGATACATAGTAGGGAAGACTGAGAAAACTAATATACTATGTATGTTAAGGAAAAAAGAAAAACAGATTCAGGATTATGCTGCTGAGAGAGAACATTAAAACAGCAAGTAGAGAAAATATTTTCCCACAGTTTTGGGGAAACTGGACGCTTTGTGCTGCTATTTGTATAAACAAAAATCTTATTTGACATGATTCAAGCATAGCAATCTATGACAAGATAAACTATATAAATAGAAAAATTTTGGGGGACAATAGAAATTTTAATGGGAATCTAAAAAATGGAAAACAATTTGAATTTATCACAACTTGTCTCAATATAATATTTAAAAAAAATAATTTTAAGATTAGGCACTTTTCTTGGATTTGTTCAATGCAATGTTATGCAATAATCTCAACAATGTTTTGGTAAAATTACGCCAATATATATTAAATTATCAGAAGCTGCCAGAAAGCAACAGAACATGTTAGTAAGGTTACTGTAAATCTACAGGCCTATACATTATATATCTACCTATCTCTGAGATATCCTAAATTTAATATTGGAAATAGCCCCATCTGGATGATACATTTTTTTAATTTACAAATTATTTTGCCGAAAGAATCTACACCTACAATTTCATCTTCAAACCCTTGGCAATCGGTACCTCTTGGTATCACAAAAATTAACTGATAGTATTATAAAATTAAACTTACAATGCTTTAAAAAGTTTGGTATGTTGCCCACAAATAACTTAGAAAGAGAACTCAGAATTTCTGTTCTAACTTGAAAGCCACATTTTCTCTATTCTTATACTTCCAGTCAGGTATAGGAAGTGTTGTAACATATTGAAAGTTCTGGGTGGTGCCTCTAGAAAGTCATAGACATTTCTAAAAAGACCTATTTCTTAACATCTAAACAGGGCCATGTTCCACTTGCCACTGCAGAGTATTTTTAACAGCTGAAAATGTAGCTCATTTTACAGAATTACCAAAATAGAACATGCATGTTCAAGTTGAACATCTCCATGCATTTCATGCATTGTGCCCAGAGCAGCCTGCAAGTGATTTCCCATCTCGTGCAGCCTAGCAGCCCATGAGAACAAAAATAACTCCTTTAATTATACAGACCTCCAACATTAAATTGCTATGTCTGACATAAATATTTTCCCCATTTACTCTCAAGGAATAAATCTGTAAAATTAAAGCACATACACAGACATAAAAGAGAACAAGGGGGGGAAAAAAGCCCATAATCATCAAAAAGGCCAAAAAAGTACTTTAAAATTCAATAAACAGGGCTTTGAAATTAAATACAGAAGGGCACCATGCAAACATAAACTATAGAAGCTTCAAACACTAATAATGCAGTCAGCAACCTTCTTGTGAATTTCGTCCTCTTCCATTTCCGTCTATGTAGTGGAATCACCCAGAGATCAACAAAAAATGAGAATTAGAGGAAGCTAAGTGTATTAAACCACTAGTCATCTACCTACAGTAGCAATGGCTGAAATGGAAATTCTGTCATTCTACAGCCAGAACTCTGTATTAGTAGATTTTTCTCCATAACTTCAAAGGAGTTGTAAAAACAGGATAGTTTGAAAAAATAAGTTTTTGAGTTTTGAACTTTCTGAGTTTGAATAAGCTATTTTAATTATAATATAATTAGAATAAAGTCTGCTGTCTATGCTCAGTAAAATGGTCTTTCAGGATTTTCTTTGTTTTGCTAAAAATGTTTGATATCAACAGAGATCATTCAAAGAACACAGCATAGTCCAGATAAAATTGATAAATTAGATCTTGGTACATATATAATATCAAACTCAGGTTAAGATTTTAACTTGCAGCTCTCCCACCCATCATACTTTTCAATACATTATTTTATCTTCAATACTTATTTATCTATTATCTATTACTATTAATATCTATTTATCTAGATATGTGCAAAATGTTTCAAATTCAAACTACTTCAGCATGGTGTAGCTGTCCATTTTTTTTAGCATGAAGCTCATTGTTGCATTGAATTTTAAAAGTATTTTAAGTGCTGGATATATTTCCAAAATGGTTGAAATAGATCATCTGCCTCTCATAATTGGGTTTTCAAGTCATTCTGAATGCGAAACATTTTGCCTACTTCTTGCATAAGCCAATAATGGAAATTACTATTTACAACTGGTTGGCAGTCCTTAGGTCCAATTGATCTGCATTAGCAGTAAGACAAGACATTACTGGAGTAGATAAATAATGAGACTGAAAATACGCAAATACACAGCTCACTCATATTAATACCGACGGATGGTTTGTTGTTAAGCATTGAATCATTTCTCCCCTTGCCACAATCAAAAGAGGGCATCTGGAATCTCTTGCTAACCTATAGCATTTTGTATTCTAAAAATCTGATAATTAATCTTACTGATTTAGAGTCTGTTCAGGATAACACTGGACAGAAAATTTAAATCCAAGACTTTAAATAAAGACTTGTAGAGCAATTATAACCAGAAAAAAATTCAGAAGGTTTAACAATGTTTAATTGCCTTCTGAGGAATTTATTGATTTTGTATGACCCATGTTGGAGAAGTTGGAGTGGGGCCAATGTAAACATCAGAGCAGAGATAGCACAGGTATGGCCCTTTCACTTATGAAATATTATTCAAATATAATGCCAAATGCAACTGATGACAAGTTATCTTCAGCAAGATTAGCATGTTTAACATTTGCCCATATCAAAGAGATATATATTTATGTGCTCTTCAGTAAAGTTAAATTCCCCCAAGCCCCCCAAAAATATTGTTTCACATTCTGGTTAGCATTGAAATATAGTTCTAAAATAGGGCCTGCTTTAAATGTACTATATACAGAATTCAAGACTATTCTCTCAGTTCTTCTGGCCCAAGAGTTATATTTTATATGAGTGGCACACAAGATGAAATACAGGATGGATTCATGATTAATTTTTTGTTTCATTAATATTTAATTAAATATAAGTATATTTAATAAGTCTGCTTTTCAAAAGGTTTAAGAAGTTCTAACAAGTTTGCTTTTCAATGGGTTTAATAAATTCTAATAAGCTTCTAGAGTTTTGGAAAACTAGGAAGCCATGACTAAAGTTTCAAAAGTCAAATGCAGCTTTGCCATGATGTGACAAAAAGAAAATCAGAATTAGCTATTGAATTACTAACCCGTGACCCTTGTTGAACAATTCCCCAAATCAGTTTTAAAAATTGTTTGTGTACAACACAGTTTCACAGAACTTGCTTTGAAGTTGGTTTGTATTGGCAAACCCTAACTAAGATTGTGGTTTATTATGAGAGAAAATAAATGCTTCCAGCCTCCTCTTATATCTATGCTGGAGGAAGGGATAGCACACAAACTTGTATAAAGCCTTGTTCTAATCATAATACACAACTGCTTATTGTTACATTTGAACAAAGCCTTTTGAGCATTTGTCAAAATGAGACACTAGTATCTAAAAGAAAGAGGCAGAAATATCTAACAGAAATAGGGAGGAAAGAACACATATTAAAATAAATCAGTTCAATTATTTTTCATATGACTAAGGAATGCTTAACAATTTACAGAATATTATGTCTAAAGACTAATTGCTTGTTTCAGAAGTTGTATGTTTCATTTTTGGGAATGCCTTGACCTAATCAATTTTGGAAGAGATATGCCATAAGAATAGCACCTAAGTGCATAGATTTGTATGGACTTGATTGCTACAAGCATGAAGCAAAGCTTCAATGTAAAAAGAGTTTATTTAATTCAGGGGTGTGCAATCTGAGGCCCACTAGTAGCCTAAGATTGCATTTCTGAAATCTGGTAGCCAGTGCAATTTTTTATTTATGAGATCCTAAATATACCAGGAAACATCTTAATGTAGCTTGTGTTCTAAAACTTCTCTAAGAATAGTGTCAAGTAAACCATACTATTTGTCTACTTTTTAATACTGCAGAATTTATATAGATGATTATGTATCAATAGATGGCACTAAACACACAGCCACCTTGGCCTCATTCTAGAAATACAGATTACCTCTGAATATGTATTAGCAAATTTATGTACAAAAGACAATTAGGCAACAAAGTTACACACCTTCTCTTCCTTTGCTTTGTCTATTAGAGTAGCGCCATTAAAAACATTCAGAGAAGTTGCTTTAGGCTCCAGGTTGCAAAGTAACAGAAGGATAGGAAGGGACAATGTGAGTGAATAAGGAACTGATTAGAAAGTAAGGAGAAATGACACAAATAATGCGAAAGAGAGACAGAAATGAGAGAGAAGTACCAGAAAGATACTGCTGAACACGAAGTGGGAGGAAGGAGATGTACATTTCTGTAAAACTAGGAGATCCAACACAGCTAACCTTATCAAACCATGCATGGAAACTAAAGAAAACCATTTTCTCAAACTAAATACTGTAGATACAGCATCTTCATTTTCAGTAATTTTATCAGCTTCTCTGTCTATTGCAAGAAGAAAAAAATGCCCCCCTCCCAAGGCTTACAAGCTAGTAGCTGGTAAATGATTTATCTTCATTTCTATTGCATTCTGGATTTTCAGCCACAGGACTGAGAGTTCCTGCTCTCCATGCAGGTTTCCTAAGGTTACTATAATCTAAAATATCTAAAAGCATGTTTTAGAAGCATTTCATGAATATCAATTAAGTTCGAGGAACAGGATGAAAGGGAATGAATGAAAGGTGAAAGCTGATGCATAAATGCATAAAATACAGAGTGAAGGGGGAGAGGAGAAAAGCGAAATGGGAGGAGTATAGTGGTAGAGAAAGTCTAATCTTAGATGCAGACATGACCATAATATAAAAGTGTATTTGTAAGCAGAAAGAAAGCGTGGAGAAGGGGGAAGGGAGAAAGTTGTTAGTGAGAATTTTTACTCAAAAATAGGATAAGCAGTACTGTTAGGATATGAATGTATAAACATTTATAAAACCCCATTTGTTATCTAATTAAACAACATACAATCCAAACATTTGGATTATGTAATCTCAAACAGCTTTTTGTTGTCTGTAAAGAGCAGTGTAAATGGAAACAGACAGACATTCAAAGCTTTAGCAGAAGGGGAGACGGCAGCACAAGAACACACAATGCTTCTTGAAAAATTTCCAGATTTTAAGTCACTCTTACAAAGCAGTTAAATATTTAGAATTGTGAATGTTTAATCATTAAAGTACACACATTTACTATTCCAACAGTTACTCAATGGTTTTGAACCCTAAGAGGCAGATCATGATCTGATCTCGTTATGTCAGTCAGTATACGAGTCCACACCTTCTCCTACATAGGGTTCTAAGTTATAAAAACAGCTATAGAAGTTGAAGCTACAATAAAACTACTACAACTTAGATAGCATTCCAATTTAATATTATTTCTACAAAATAAGACTGTTTTCAGCAATCATACCTTTCCATCTTCTAATTGTGACATTTTAGCAATGCCTCCATCCACATCTCTGCCTTCCTCGTCTTTAAACTTGTGCTGTCCAGCTGTTTCAAAGGTCCTCTCACCAGCAGCAACAGAAAAGTCCTTTAGCAGACTCTGGTCTACAATGCCTACTGGAGCTGCAAAAATATTTTTTTTAAAAAAATATCCCCTATTAGTTTTCAGATGAATTCTGACTTGTTTCCTTTAAAAACAAACAAGCATTCCACCAGAATAAGTGGGTACATCAGGATTCAGACTCTCTGGTGGTCAAAAGCAACTGTAGGAGGTCATATTTTTTATAAACCTGGTTAGTCTTGGATGGTTAACTGGGAGTTAATGTCAAAGCTCACTCTGGGCTTTCTTCTTCATTTGGCCTGTGCCCCAACAAGGCAACTGTTGTTCTACAAATCTGATTTAGACTTTGATATAGAACGCAGTAAGACAGTATTACAATAAAATTACAATAATGTTTGACTATAAGCAAATGTTACAGAATATAAATATCACTAGATACATGTTATATAGGTAAAATATAAAAACAAACTATATTTATAGAAGCATGTTACAGTTGCAGTATTTATAACATGTCCTACTATTTCTGCATATTTATGCATATGCATGCATAAGATGAAAACTGCTCTATAAATTAATATTACCGTATTTTCCAGCGTATAAGACGACTTTTTAACACATGAACATCTTCTCAAAAGTCGGGGGTCGTCTTATACACCGGGTGTCGTTCTCCTGTAACCAGGCAGACCAGCCCGAAAGGCTCTGACGAGCCTTAAATGGCTCTGGCGATCCCAGCTCTGACGATCCCAGCTCTGACAATCCCAGCTGAGTTCCCTGCAACTTAGCTGGGATCGCCAGAAACCATGTAAAAGGAAAAAAGTTTTTTCCCTTTTACTCTGACGATCCAAGCTCTGACGATCCCAGCTGAGTTCCCTGCAACTCAGCTGGGATCGCCAGAACCATGGCTCTGACGGTCCCAGCTCTGACGGTCGATCCCAGCTCTGACGATCCCAGCTGAGTTCCCTGCAATCAAGCAAGCAGGGAGTTGTGGACTTCAACTCCCAGAATTCCTCAGCCAGCAAAGCAAACCTGGCTGAGGAATTCTGGGAGTTGAAGTCTACAAGTCTTAAAGTTGCCAAGGTTGGAGACCCCTGTTCTATTGGGTAAGTTTTTTTCCCCTTTGGGAGCTTTAAAAAAAATAGTCAATTGGGGTTTTTTTAGTTGTTCTTTTTTAGATCTAGCCATTTAAAGTTCAGGAAGTTTTAAATTTAGCTTTCATATAACAATAAAAATAAAATAAAATAAAATAATATTTGTGCAGCTTTCTGAGATTTAGTGTGTTTCTGTAGTGATTCACTCTAACTACACAAACACACAAAATCTCACAAAGCTGTATGTGGAATTTTGTGTGTGTAAAGTGTGAAAGTTGGTTTTTTGGACTTTTTGTGGCTGTGTGAGGTTCCTGCTTGTTGCAGGGACCATTTTGGGTCTAGCACAGCTGCTTTTACATTGTGGGTGAGCCAGTTGTGTTGTGTGTGTGTAGAGTGTGAAAGTTTTTTGGGGGGCTTTTTGTGGCTGTGTGAGGTTCCTGCTTGTTGCAGGGGCCATTTTGGGACTAGCACAACTGCTTTTACATTGTAGGTGAGCCAGTTGATGTTTTTTAATTTTTATTTGGTGTGCTTTGGAAGAGGGGTAGTCTTATATGGCGAGTATAGCCCAAACCCTATATTTTAACAGGAAAAGTTGGGGGTCGTCTTATACGCCCAGTCGTCTTATACGCCGGAAAATACGGTAGGTAAGCTTTTGATTTACTGCTGAATGTTCTAGTCCAATGTCTAATGCTCCTCACACAAATGGCAGTTTATGAACTACTGCCTGTGGTATGTTTGGTCAATCCATACATAGAACAAAAATAAATTAATCTGGGCCATATTCTCCAATTAATTTTGATTTTTTTATTTTTTTTTTGGCTTTAATTTATATGCTGCCCTTCTCCGGAGACTCAGGGCGGCTTACAATGCGTTAAGCAATAGCCTTCATACTTTTGTATATTTATACAAAGTCAGCTTATTGCTCCCACAATCTGGGTCCTCAATCCACCTTTTTGAATTTGGATGAGATACTTGGCTTTAAATAAACTATGGACAAATAGTTTGACATTTACAGTTCTGCAAAAGGAACTAGCAACAATTTCTACGGAGCAGTTCTTCAATACATTTTTAAATCCAATCCAATCTATTATATACTGAAAAAAGTAGCATTTCTACTGAAAAAGTAGCATTTCTATCTTAAAAAACAGGTTTGGCAAGACCTTTGAAAAATGTACTTACTTCATGAAAGCTAAAGGACAAACAGGGTTATCACTATTCCAATGTATAAGATTCTTTTATAAGTAATAAATAAGAAAGTCACTATAGTTTCTGTCCAGCTCTTACCACCATCAAGACTCCTGGAGATTCGTTTGCTTGAGGTCCGTTCAAAGTATGGGGCAGGTCTATCTATGAGATTGCTAGCCTGGCGTGTTTGTGCTTGGGTACGTCCACTGTAACGGAACTTGGAGCCCAGTGTCAGAAATTTGGCTTTTGGAGGCTGTTCTGGTGATACAAGCCTACAACCATGAAAAAATGAACAAGGTCATTTCCAGACTGTAAAAGGATAGTCACTAAACACAATACTTCCTTTTTTCTTTAATAAATTATATCAACTGATTTCTAGGAATTATAAAAGTCTGTACATTTCTGAAAATATTCCCTTCTTTAATATTGTCTTTTGTCCATATGTCATATTTTATTTTTTTTATGACAAGGATGACATTTTATTATAAAGTACCTGCCAAAAATTGTAATTCATCTGCTGAGAGCAAGATTTCGAATGCTTTTAAGCCATGGAATGAAAGGAAAAGAAAGGAAAATAATGAAAGGAAAACACTGGAACCCCAGATCAAGACAAAGCTAGAGTGAAAAAACTGGCAGCATATGAGTGAATTTCTCCCCTTAGGTCTCTTATAGAATCTATCAGGTTTTTGTGGAAATCTAGAATTACATGAGACATAGTTTCAAAAACCTTGTGCTAGAACAGTATTTTTCAAAATTGGCAATTTTAAGATATGTGGACTTCAGCTCCCAGAATTCTCCAGCCAGCATCCTAGAGGATTATGAAACACAGACAAAAAATATTTTCCAATGGCAGTCTTCATATTTTAGAGCAGGGGTATCAAATTCAAGGCCAAAGGTCCGGGTTCCAGCTCATGGGTAGCTTAGATCTGGCCCGTGGGGCTGCCCTGGAAACAGCAAAGGACTGGCTCTCAGAGCCTCTTCCAGCGAAAACAGAGCTGGGGAGGGCTGTGTGCGGCCCTCCCGCGCTCCGTTTTCGCTGGCAGAGGTTTGCAGGAGACCATTGCAGCCAAAAACGGAGCTTGTGAGAGCCATGGGCGGCACTCCCAAGCTTCATTTTTCCTGGCAGATAGTTGCAGGAGGCCGTCGCAGCTGAAAATGGAGCTTGCGAGGGCTGCAGGTGGCACTTCCAACACTCCTTTTGCTGGCAGAGGGTTGCAGGAGGCCGTTGCAGCTGAAACAGAGCTTGGGAGCCCATTTCCACTGCAGAGCGCTCTAGCCACCACAGGCGCCCCCGACATGAGTGAAATCAAGCTGGTCACCCCCAGCCTGGCCATGCCCATACTGGCCCCCCAAGGTCAAACACAAACCTGATGTGGCACTCAATGAAATTGAGTTTGACACCCATTTTAGAGAATGGACTGAGTGGTCATACAGTTTCTTTTCTACCACATTCCCTATTTTTCTATATTCAATTTCTTGTTCCTAGCAAGAATCCTAGGACTTAAGTACAGTACAAGGCTATTTTAGTATTACAGAGAAAGTATGTTTTAGAAGGTCTGTATTTAAATGTATAAAAGGTAATCAAGTGAGAGAAGAAAATAAGAGGCAAACTCTAACCCTAACTATCATGAAGGAAGTTGACACTCTTGGATTAAGCCATTTAAATTAATGACAGTTGGAACTGCTGCATTCTTTTGCATGCCAGCTCCTCAGAAGCATACCATGAATATACATCATTCGTTGGAAAATGTAATATGAATTACTATTTATTTCAAAGACACCTGCATAAAATCTTTGAGTTTAAATGAAACTAATGCCAGTAACAAAACAGTATTTTTTAATCCCCTCTCCTCAGAGACTGCTCTTATTTGGTGCTACAGTATTCAAGGAGCACATGAAGATGAAAGTTGTCTTAATCATAATTATTATAGTTTACATGCCATTTCATTGGAAGACCATGAGGCTTATAAAAAATAAGAATACAATTGTAATTAATCTAATGGCCACCATTTGCAGACAACATGATCTTAACAGTCTAAAAATGCATTTCTGAAGGATCATTTTGTTATGGCTCCCTATCAATGTAATAAGGATAGTTTCATTCAAATATCTTGGGAGTAAGTTATTCCCAAGAAAGAGGATCATTGCTGAATACACTTGAGCCTGGGCCCCCTGAAGATAGCACTCCTTCCATGGTAGAACTATCAAGTTCACACTCCCATCTTGCACTAAACAACCATATTCAATTCAGAGAAGGCAGCCGCAGGGGTATCCCAGTCCTGAACCATTTCAGATTTAAAGATGACAACCAGCACCTTAACTGGCAGCAATAATAGTATTATATGGGTAAATCTTAGAACAGACATAATTACACTAGCTGAAACTTCAAGGATGATCTTTAGAGTTAATCCCATGAAAACGCATTGCAGTAATCCTCTGCTGTGAAGTAACACAGGCATGAGTGACTGTGAGTAAAGCCTCTTGATTCAAGAAAGGCCACAACTGGCACACATTATAACTCTGAGATTGTGGGAATTCGGGTGGGGAACAAGCTTCAGCTCAACCCTAGCAAGACTGAGTGGCTTCTGGGCCCTTAGGTTCTGGGGGCTTACCATTTCTGAAGCTGGATGTGTTGCACTACCCCAAGCAAACTGTGCACAATTTAAGGAATTTTCTGGACACATGATTCCTACTTAAAGAAGAGTTAGCAATCATGGCCCAGATACCTTTGCACAGCTTCATGTTATATACCACTTGTACCTGTTCCTGAACTGGGAGGTTCTACTCTCATGTAGGCCCTCATCAGCTCCCAAATGGATTACCTTAAGTGGGGCTGCCCTTGAAAAACATCCAGAAGCTTCAGTGCATATTAAGCCTATGCTCCATGAGCTGCATTGTGTGCCAGTCTGCTTCCAGCTTCAATTTAAGGTGCTGGTTATAAAGACCTAAATGTCATGGGGCTCGGTTATTTTTGAGACTACTTCTCCTCTGTTACATCTACCCATCTCATCATGGCAAGCAGAAAGGGCAGGTTATGGCTCACATCAATTAAGGAATATCATCTGACAGAACTCTGGAGGAGAGCCTTTTCTGCCACAGTGCCTGTCTTTTGGAATATCCTCCCCTGGAGGTTAGACTCGCCCCAACCTTGTTTACCCTTTGAAATGCTCTAAAAATATGGTTGTGTCAATGGGCTGGGATCTGGTTATAGTTTGGAGACTGCTAGCTGTTTATATTGATTGATCCATAACTTGTACTTGCCTGCTTTCTGGGTTTTCGGTTTCAATTTTGGTTTTTAATTAGGCTTTTTATTTGATTTTAAAGGCTGCTGGGTTTTTACTGCTTTCCTGAATTTTACTGATTGTGTTCTTTGGTTGTTTTTAACTGTGTGAACTGAGTCACAAATGTGAGATGGGTGGCTATACAAATTGAATAAATAAATCCTGTTTCGTTGTTACTGTTACTTTTTTACGTGAACCTCATTAATAGAGCTGGACAGTAATACAAACTCCAATAAATAAATAACAAACTAAATGAATAAATAACATATACTGTAGTATCCCATACACAGCCTATTTCATCCAGGGCAATCCAAAGTTGTCAACAGTTTTATAAAATAGTTGGATTAAATGATGATTACTCAAGGACGACATGTTATTACCATCACCTCTTTCAAGATGGAGGGCATGTACCACTATCTACATCCAGTTCCTATCAGTTCCCTGGCTGCTTTCACCAACTGGTAGAGCAAGGAACTAATCAACAGATTGCTATACTAACTATGCAGATGACACTGCCTTATTTTCTTAGCTGGCATATGCTGAAAACAATCCAGATAATTCCAGAAATAAACTTGTTATCTCAGCTGGATTTGCCCAGCTGGTGTCTTACTCCAAGTTAATATGAGTGATTTTAGTCACAGCAATGGCCTAGTAGATCATTTTCCAGTTTTATTTTTTTATATTTTTTATTTTTTTCTAAAAGAAATTATGAGTTTAATACTGTTAGATCAAGATTTGAACTTCTTTGGATTTTCTGCATAATGGCTTCAGTTATAAGAAGGCAATATAAAATAGTGGGGGACCTAGAACAATTGGCATTGTTAGAAACAAGCTTTTGTCTCTATTCAGAGTAAGAATGAAAAATGCTTGGGTGTTTCTTTATATAAGATGTTCAATGTGAAAATGTCACCAAAAAAATAAATAAAAAATATCACTACAGAAAAACCAGAAATTTTAAAGACATTAATTTTCAATTCATTAACCAACAAAGAACACTGTTCAGTTAAAAAAACCCAAAAATCTACATTAGCTGAAGATAACTAATATAGTACTTTAAAGACAAGACTTTGTATTGCTTGTAGGAAAGGTCATTAGAAAATGATTGGGCCATCACAGAAAAAGTCCTTGAAATCTCACAGGTGTCACAGAAAACAGGCATAAAAATCTGCATGGAGGGGAAATTAAGAGTAGTTCCTGTTTGGTTGGGTGACCATAATAACTACCATAGATACTAAGCTTTCATTAAGAACACTTTTGTTGCATATACAGCTTGAGATAGGACACACACTATGCATTTATTTTATTAAAAAGTTAACCACTTCCAACATTTTGCTGGTGTGTGTACATTTAAAAAAATGCATACCAGGCTCCAAAACAGACTGTAACACTGATGCAGTTTATTAAGTGCTAAACTCCTACAAATTCTTAGTTTCTCTTTGATTTTAGAACACATTTTTCTTAATGCAGGCTTCAAACTAAAGCAAAGTGTAATTTGGTGCTTCAGAATTAAATTTGGTACAATTGAATCAGACACAATTGTTAGTGGCTTTATAGATAAGTATCTGGCATGTCCACAAGTGAGAGTAGCTCTTCCTAGGACATTCCATTGATATCCCTGATCCCATCAGCAGCCTTATCCATCTTCGCTTGCTAATCATTGCCTCATGGAAAGTCATTTTTACATCATCTAGGACAATGGTGGGTTGCCCCCGATTCGGACCCGTTCTATAGAACCAATAGTAAATCCGGAGGGAGCTCCACCCACTGACCCCAACATCATCAGAACGCTTCTGCGCATGTGTGCGGCCCCATTGCGAACCGGTAGTAAAGATGAGTAGAGCCCACCCCTGATCTAGGACCAAAGTAGTTTATTTAGGGCTATAAAATCTTAAAATCTTCGCAGGTTCTGAAATACAACTCTGAGCAGCCCCTGCCAGCTAAATATGTGGTATGATGAAAGTTGTAATTCAATAGCATCTAAAGTTAGAAAACCAAGATTTCTGCCCTAATATGTTGTAGCAGTAAGACTCCTATTATGAACATTTCTTTATGTATTGTCTGGAAAGCAGTTTCTACAGGTAGATTGCACACTAGTATCAGTAAGCTTATACCTCATGTTAATTATTTTCAGGGGGAAAAGATTAGAACTGATATACAGATTTTTAAGGATTATAATCCAAAGCATTAATCAGTCACTAGATTGAATACAGATAGTCCTCACCAATTGCTGTGTTCAGTGACTGAAATTACAACGGTTCTGAAAAAAATATAAGTTCAAGAGTAATGCCTACATTTACAACCTATGCAGCATCTCTCATGCATGTGACCACCATTGCGTTCAGTGCTATCCTGTGCCTGACTTGTTTTTTCCTCCTTGCAGAGCAAAGATTGAGAGGATGAGATTACAACAGAGTAAGAAGGCATGCATTGAAAGCAATGTAGTGGCATTGGCAGTTGTGAGCATGTCACAATTCCCCATAATGTGCCGGCTTATTCTCTTATAATCCCTTACTCCAAGCTCTCTGATCCGCAAGAGGGAGAAGGAAAAAACATCAATTTCTGTAGGCAATCTCACCTGTTCCTGACCCTGCAAAACAGAGAGATTGGAGAGTAGGAAATAAATCAGGCTGTTTGCATAATATGCTGGCATCAGTGCACTACTTCCAATGTGCATTCCACATCATGTGCCTCTTTACTCTCTTGTAATTCCTTACCCTCCAATGAAAATAAATACAAACATTAATTTACTTCTTACTAATTATCCCATTGCTGCGATGAGCATTCCAAAACAAACAAAAACTGAAAGTGTGAAACTGATTAGTCTGGTCAATTTTGTGAAAGTTCTCCCAGCACCTCTAGAGTGACCTCCAATTTGGAGTTGGGGAACGGGGATGGACAAATGAAAGCACAGTCCAATCACATGATTTTCCTCCTAGCGATCACTTCATTTAGTGATGGAGTTGTTGGTCGCAATTTTGTCAGTAAGCCACAATTTAACTAGGATTAATGTAATCTTTAGCATTAATATAATCCTAAAGATCTTTTATACTATTAAAAATGTAGATTCAGGCACAAAATGGGCCATTCTGGAAAAAGGTATGCAATCTCAGAAGGACATATTTTCAATCCAGAATTCAAGTAATATGTAAGTATAATGTAACAGCTATAAAAACTACCTGATAATAAACGGAATGCAAAATAAATTATTTAGGATCCGTTAGATCTGTTAAAGCCTCATAAAGAGCATCAACTTCTCTTCCATACCAAGTCATTTCTTGCAGAGCCTTGCTTCTTTCCAATAAAAGATTACCAATGTTTCCAAAGGGAAGAAAATCATTCTAGAATATTTTTCTGACAAATTTCAAGTCTGTCAATGCCATAATTAAAATGGTGATGCCAGAAGATACTAATACATGACAATAAGTTTTCTGCATTTTGTGCAGTTCACTCTTCTTTTTCCTATGTTAGGGTTTTTTTCTGTCTTCCACCTCTAATAAAACTTTGTTGATTTCTGGATTATTCTTGTATAAGGATTGAATCAAAAAGTATTTAGCATTAATGCTTTCAAGATCCCAGTATTTTCTGCCACCTTGAGCAGGCTTTTAAATACAACACAATGATATTCTAATCAACAGAATGCACAAATGCAGATACTGATTTTTATTTGCACACAGCTGGAGTTGCAATCACCCAGCACCATTCAATTTTCCTCCCCAGTGAAATCATTTTCAGGAATGAATGAAAACAGAGCCCCATATGCTGGGCAGTTTGATATCGATAGGCATGCTCTTTCAGATAACCTTGGCTTAAACCACTTAAGGTTTTAGAGGCTAAAACTAGCTCCTTAAGTTAGAATGAAAACAACCTAACTCCTGTAGAACAGATGTAGCAAATAAGCTTGACATGATCACTTAGCTCCTACAAACATATGTGTTGCATTTTGTGCTTCGGAGTTGTTGATTATATATAACGGCAGTCTTCCATAAAATGTATAATCAAACCCCAATGATTTAAATTGCAAGCAGGCTATAGAGTGTAAATGTGAATGATTTTAATTATTAATTAAAAGTAAAAGTAAACTGGACAAGCTAGCATTTTTAGGTAAGAAAAGGTAAGAAAAACAAATAGTAGGTAAAATTGAATTCCCAGTAGAAGGGAAAAGAAGCCTGAGATAAATCTAGTTCTTGAGTCCAATCATTTGTCTGCTGAAGCTTTCACTGGAAAGCAAAAAGTAGACGTGGTTTGCAGGTCAAAAAGCCAATGAACAGTAGCAGCACTTTCTGTCTGCAGGGAAAACTGGAATAATAAGGCAGTATTGTTTTCTCTCAAAATTCTTTCTATGGCAAATTCCCTCTAACAAAATATTCTATATTACCATAGCTAAGTTATTGCAGCCTACATTTTATCAACGGAAGCATAGAGGATCTACTATAATGAAGGCAAACAATACTGAAGAAATGTGGCTTAAAGATGCGAGAATATTAGGATTCAAAACAAAAATCTATTTTTACCAGAACCCTTTCATTCTATTTACTGAGTCATTTATTGTCTATTTTTTACTACTGATGCCCTAGGTATCTATCAATATGTTACAGATTGCCTAGCATAAACATTTTGCAAACAACCATGATGGGGCCCACTGTATCATATTACAGATGACTAAAGAAATAATCAATTTATCATTTATTGTATCATAACAATATTTTAGGAGAAAAATCTAGCATATAGCTTGAGGAAAAAAGCTAGGGGGCTTTTGTTTTGTTATTTTTAATAGGTTCGCAAAACGAAGAATTTTACACTATTAATACCATGTCATGATAGACCAAGGGAATAAATTAGAACCAAATCAAACTACATATGGGACACACACAACTGAAAGGTACTTATAAGGAATGTGTATTTTGTCACAGGCTAAAAGAAAGCTCATTTATCAAAAGCTCTTTTCATATTTAAAACTTCCTCAAGAACATAAAAGCCATTGAAATCCCATAACCCACTAATTAAAAATGTAAATTTTACCTATAAAAAGTATGATGCTCCACACAAACCTTCCATAATCGTTTTGCAGCCCTATGATTTGGCAGCTTAAAGCCAATAGTACTCTCAAACTGTTCCAGCTGAAAAAAATGAATACAATCAGATTAATATAATTTTTGAATACTGTTTGCGCTAAATCTCTCTGACCAGTCGCAGTATGTGTTGGCAGGAGGGCAGAAGTCGACTTCAAGACACCTTATTTGTAGGGTGCCGCAGGGGTCGGTCCTCTCACCTCTTCTGTTCAACATTTATGTGAAGCCGCTGGGTGAGCTCATCCGTGGTTTTGGGGTGCAGTGCCATATTTATGCTGATGATACTCAGCTGTACATCTCCACCCCAGACCACCCCAATGATGTCCTTGCAGTGATGTCCTGGTGCCTCGAAGTCGTGCGGATCTGGATGGGGAGAAACAGGCTCCGACTCAACCCTTCCAAGACCGAGTGGCTGTGGCTGCCGGTGTCCTGATATAGCCAGCTGATACCACTGCTGACTATTGGGGGCGAGTCATTGGCCCCCACGGAAAGGGCTCGCAACTTAGGTGTCCTCCTGGACACGCGGCTGACTTTAGAAGAGCATATGACAGCCGTGTTAGCATTTGATTTCATTTACTCTTAAACTTAATGTAATCATTTTCAGTCACTTGGTACTGTTAAGGTGTTACAGTTAAGGTGCTGGCCTAGAAACCAAGAGAGTTCTAGGCCTGGTAACTTTGGGCCAGTCCAATCCACTCTTAGTCCAATCTACTTCACACAGTTGTTGTTGTTGTGGGGAAAAGAGGCAGGAGTATTGGATATGTTCACTGCCTTGAGTTAAATATAAAAATCATCATCATCACCATCATTGTCACCATAATCTGTTAGAATGCAATTTAATTAACAACTCTAAACCAGAGGCTCAAATGCCTCATTCAGAGGCTACAATTCAAACATAATGTAAACATGTAGTCCTCGAGTTACGAATGTAATGGAGCCTTCCGATTCCATTTGTAACCCGAGGATTTATGGGAGTGAATCTCGTACCATGAACAAGATCACTCCTTCCTTTTGCCCATGCATTCGCTAATTGAATGTGAGGCTCATTAAGTACACATGAGGTATTTCAGGGTGGGGAAGGCCATAGGTGACCTACTGATGGAACAGGCCACCTGCCTAAGATCACCCAAGACCTCCCTGACCCACTGAAATACCTCATGCTCCCCACAATTGCTTCCCCTCCCCAACCTGCCGCACCAGTCACTTACCTTGTGAAGATCTAGCAAGTAGTCTCCTTGTAGGTTGCCGACCAAAATGGAGTTTCTGAGGGCCAGATCTCCCCCCCCCCCCGGAGGCTCCATTTCGGCCTGCAATGGGCCAGAGGAAGCCTGCGGAGGGCTGAACGGAACGTTGGAGGACTGGATCTGCCCCTCAGAAGCTCCATTTAGGCTAGCAATGTGCAGGACAAATGCTGCATAGCCTCTGCGATTGTTCGAAAGAGTGAACAACTACTGTGGTGCTGCAAGATTCGTAGTTTCACAAATGCTAGGGGACACTTATCGCGTAAATTCAAATGTTCACTAAGGGAACGTTCGTAACCTGGGGATTACCTGTACAGATGAATAAACGCTTTCTTGGAAGTTTTTTCCATAACATTTATGGAAAAGCTATTTCTAAACAAGACAAAATTACTGCAAAGTAGGAACTGGTTTGACATAATTAAGAATGAAAATGATAGTGTCTCTATTTCCTACTATAGTTAATGTTCAGGAAAAAACATGCATTCATTTTTGTATAATTAAGCTTTGCACTGATTTAATGAGATGCATACAATACACATCTGGGTAAGTGTCAAAAAGCAAGTCTACAATTGATTAGATTCCATACTAATTAATTTGTAGGGCAATTTTTTTGAATGGCATTTGAATCTTTTTAATTGCTTATGAATTATTAGTGAGCACCAGTGGTGAAATTCAACCAGCTCTATCCAGATAGTACGATCCGGTAGCGCCAGGAGGTTCCGCCCACCCATCATCACGTCCTGTTTTTGACCCTCTGTGCATGTGCAGAAGGCTCTGGCAATGTGTGGAGGAGGCGCGCACGCTCACATTGGCGAACCGGTAGCGAAGGTAAGTGAATACCACCCTTGGTAAGCACCAAATGCTTTAAAAACATATCTTACTGTTGATTACTTATGGATCCGAACTGTGTATGATTCTGAAATATGAAGCAACAAGAAAACAAAATAATCTAGAAATATCAAAGTGTTGGAGATTATGCTTTTAGACATATTCAATATGGAGAACATCTCAGGAACGCCATGTGCCAGCTGAAAGAAGCCTTTGCGTAGCTATGGCTGCTTTGCATTATGGCTCTTCAACAAATCTAGTATGATTTAAAAAAAAAAAACAACAACACTTTACCAGGCAGACACATATCACACTATGAACTATTGAACTACCTGACATGTGTTCATACAATTTCTGATATGTAAATCATGATATCCATGTACTTACTTCAGTTGGTCTGATTTTAATATAGAAATTATTGCGTTTATAAGAAATCTTCAAAATTTTGGGCCATGCAAAACGATTTATCCGAAGTCTGTCTTTGTAAATGAGTAGCCCATTGGCACAAACCCCCAACATGATGTCCACACCTTCAGAATCCTATCAAATTAAGAATGAAAGCAATTTCAATCTGATTGCAGTAGGAATACACACAGGCAGGCAGACAATGAAGCAGCAGGAGTAGAGAAGATTATCTTAAAAGACATGGAAATTTAGCTGAGCAACAATACTGAATCTAAGAAAATACTTCAGAAGTGGACAGATAGGCAGTTGATAATGAAGGAAATATTGTAAAATTATGTCATTGCCTTGTTATGTAAAGTTGGATATACTAACTGAATATCAAAACAGTACACAGAAGATAGAAATCCATCATATGAATGGAAACAAAACACTTTAATAAGCTTTAATGATCAATAATCCACAATATATTGTTTAATCCATCCAATTGTGTAGTATGCAAGATTGTACTTAATATTTCAAGTCATTAACTATCCAAATATTTGGCTAGTAGTCTTCTTATTAGTAGAGGAGACCTATCCTGCTTTAAAACGAAAGCATGGGAGAACCCAAGTTTTTTATAATAAATATTTTACAATAAAGTATTTTATAGATGCAATTTTGAGGGGAAAAGCAAACATATACACACTCCTATATGCTAAAAGTTGTGTACAATACTTTCTCTGTGGAATTTTCATTCATCCCACCTACTTTTCCAGATCATTTTGGAACGTTCACTACTTTCCCATTTCCTCCATTGTACTAACTGTAGCAATATGCTTATAACAATAAGGAAAAGTTCCTAGTTGTGAAATTGCCAGCACGATAGTCTTTTGAATGGTCCTTTAAATGTACTGGGTGAATAGCAACTTGGCAGCTTCACAAATATTCCTTTAGAGCACGGGCGAAATCTACCTACCTTCCCTACCAGTTCAGAAGTGTGCATGTCACAAGCAATAACAGGTTACTTCCTGGTTAAAACCAGGAAGTAACGACGTCCGGGTGGGTGGGCAGAGGCTCGCACTGCCACAGCTACTGGTTCTCCAAACCACCTGCCATCACCACTACTGGTTCGCCCGAACTGGTGTGAACCAGTAGCATTTCACCCCTGCTTTAGAGCAAGTGCCCAGATTTTTTTTCTTTTCTTTTTTTAAAATGGCAATGGGCTAATAAAAGTTCTGGATACATAAACTGGCAATTTGTTTTCTTTGCTGGGTAAGAAGAGGATGAAATAGACGTTTTTCAATGACTTGCTGGAGAAGGCTCTGATTCAGTAGAACTTTCGCCAGCAAATCGGCTAGAAAAAAAAAACACTGACTAAAGTATTGGCATCCCCTACCTGATCTCAAAATTCCAAAACCTGTAATAGTAAATGTACTATTTACTATTTACATAGCTGATTTACAGAATCTGGGACTAGAAATGGTGTTATCTGCAAATAGTATCACTTCTCTCTTTCCTATTACAGAAGCAGCAGCATTGGGGAAAGGTAATTTCTCCCCAATAGTATGATCATGGAAGAAGCAGCAATTCTGCATTTGCTTGTATATGTTGGCAGAGAGAATGTATAAGGGAGAATGTGACAAGAGAATGGTGTTCAGAAGATACAGCTCTTGATTAAAACAAGCCTAAACGAGCATAAAATGACATATATGCAATGAAAATGTTAAAAATATGTACTATGGGTTTCAAATTATTCTCCAAATATCCCTGTTTTTCAAGCAGAAGAAATAGAATATATCAAGGATTACATCTCTGATACAGGATGGATTTAGGCTGATTCACACATCTGCCAGGAATTCTACTTCCCGTATTCTAATCACATATCTACTTCCCGTATTCTAATCAAATCTCCCTTCAGATTGATTTAGCGCCAGCAACAACACTTTCTTCCTTTCCTCACAAACAACAATTCATGCATATTGAACAATAGGTATTTTTAAGGACATGAATCTATTACATTTTCTAAATAAAATTTTATTTTCTATAGAAATGTTGATTAATACCTTAGCATGATGTAAATCCACTCCATACATGGATAGCCGCTTGGCATTTTCTATGAATTGGGAATCTGCCTGTGCTGGAGTCAAACCCCTGCAAATATTTAGAAAAGAAATATTAAAAATCAATATTAAGTTATGTTGTGTTCTTATTAGTATATAAAAACATAACCTTTGCTACTCAGACCATAGTCTATTTAAGCCAGTATTTTGTTTCTAGATATGGCCAGTTTTTGCAAGGGGTAGCACTGCTTTGAATCCCATCCATTTAAACATCTCAAACATTGTATTATTCATGCTGAAGGAGAGTCCATTTTCAAATATAATCGTTTCCAGTCTTTGCATTTGTGAAAACTACCAAAACATACTAGAGTAGAAACACACTTGGAACAGACATGCCAAAAAAAAAAGTGTTACATCAATATCTAATAGTTGGTTACCAACATTTTGATAATTTTAAACGCTTAAACAATAAAGGGAAATGCCCTGCTGTTTTTCGAGCATCTACTTTTTAAGCAACAAAAAAGGACCAAACTTGCTCTTGAGGGATTCAAACTGCATTATCTCGCAAGATGAAGAATAGCCAGGGCTACTGCTTTTATGAAAATCCTAATGAAATAATAAAGATGTTTGCCTCAAACATCTATGGTACTCCCTGCATTATTGAACATCTTTTTTATACTGTTCAGCTTCTTTGTAATCCTGATGTAATCAAGAGAGGGGAGGAGAAATCCCTAGTTTCTAGTCATCTTTGTTTTAAAATTTCCAAATAGTACTCAGAAATAATTTCATAACCATATGGAAGCTGAAAATATCTTGCATTTTTAAATTCCTGTGTTTCTATGAACTTTTTTCCATGTTTTATTGTTGTGCTTACTTGTATCCTGCAAATTAAAACTTTGTTACCACTGGTTCTTACTGCAGATTTGCCCTCTGGGAAATATTATGAGATCTTTCTCCCAAAATGTTATTCTAACGCTCATTTTCTTCTCTCCCCTTGTTTTTACTTCTTCAGTGAATTACTGAAGTTTATTATTTTCATTATTTTTTCCTTTCTCTCCTTATTTATTTGTATGCTATTAATAACAATCTCTTAATTAATTTTCCTATTTATGAGGGAGTGGCAGGGTTATATTACATAATGCCTGACTACAGCCTAGGGTTATATCTTTTGTTTTTAATTGCATAACCATTATCTGCCACAAGCAAACAAAAAGGCATACAAATGAATTACTTGGAACATGACGCACCTGTGTGTCTTGTGTAATTCTACTACTTTATCCTCCAACTCTTTTGTCTGGTTAGGTGCAAACTGGAATTCCTGTATGTAACCACTATCATGCTCCTCAGGATCAAAGTCACCTAGTTCAGCTTGTAAAGTATATGAACCAAGCAGAGCATGGGTCACAAAAGAGCATGGTAGACGTCCAGAAGCAATATCCTGACGAAGCTGCAAACAAAGGAAGTACCTAGGAAAAAGAACATTGATAATTGTCTGACAAATTTTATTTATTTGTTTCTTTTTATTCTATTCCCTTTATTACTATATATCAAGTTAGCGAACATTCATAATACTGCTTCCTTTTATTTTCCCCACAAAAGGCTTAATATTTTTCTCTATTTTTAACATTTTAAAAATCTACATCAAAAGCAATCTGAAAACACAGAAATTATTATAAAATAATTTTATAAAATATAAATATATAAAATATAAAAAGTTTATATTTTAATAACTGTAAAAAAAACCCAAATACAACCTATTTCTCATATAAAGCTGGAAATTACCGGTATACTATCAGTGAAGTCTTACTGCAATTATTCTGACTACTAGTTTTTAAGTAGTATACTTTTTAAAACTACACACACTCACACACACTTTTAACCATAACCATAGTAATGTGAGAGTTATAATAGTATTTCCTCCCTGACTTGTCCGGGTTATGGTCTGTTTTGAATATCTACAGTGGATTCAATATTGTTGCTTTTCTGCTTTAATTTATTCTTCTTTTTTCAACAAAAAAAATTGCCATTAGACAATTAGTTTTTCTTAAATGACATTTATCTGCAGTAATTATTTGTATATACATTTTTATACTAGATTTATGAAAAATACTACAAATCAAACACAGAGGAAAGCAATAGCAGCTAATAGCTTTTTTTGAATTTGGCCATTTTCTTTAGGCTTATGAAATGTAATATTTTACAGATTTTCCAAAAGACCCTAAGTAATGTAGGATTTCCATTCAATAATGCTTAATAGCATACCTGGTGATTTCTTCTGTTAATTGTGAAGGGTCAGGTGGGTAAAACTTCACATTAAAGGTGAACTGCCATGGCAAATCTACATTTAACACATTCCCCAGAGAATACATGGGAGAAAAAATGAAAACATTCAAAGTAAACATTATTTTTATCCACAAATAGGAAAAAATGTAGACACTAAGGATGGGAAAGAAACTCTTTTGTAATACTAACATATTAGTAAAATTACTAATATGTCAGATTTTAAATTGTTTTGCCCATACCATTTGAGATTAATGCATCTCCCTGTGTCTGAGGTCTGTATCGAATCCTTGTATTTCTCTCAAACTATTTTGCATGAAAGTATTCTTCCCCCCACCCCCCTCCAAAGTCTTAAAGCCTGTCCTGGAAATACCACTGGAAGGTATTGAAATAAAAAGTTAAGCCATGTGGGATCTTCATCTTTACTGCTGCAATTCATCTAAAACACTGAAATATTTTGAAGCCCAATTTCTATTTTCTTAATTTCTTGCATGCTGGTACTGTATATATTTTTTATTAATAGATTTATATCAATAGATATATAGCTATATGGGTATTACTGATATTTATATAATTGGAATAATTAAAAATATGGAAAGTATGGAAACTTTTGAATTTTTGGGAGTGTATAAAAAAGCATCAGATGTGATTTATGAAAATTAACTTATTGTCCTGGCACCTCTGCAAATTCCTTTAACTCCTTCTTAGTATAGCTGGCTGAGTAAGAAGTGTTTGAGAGAGTCAAAACATATAATCTGAAAATAGATTTAAAAGCTATGTTTTATCTCCCATTTTCATCCCACAAATCTGATTACTGGATCTAAATGCTGTTGCCAGCACTTCTATGGCTAGGTTGGATAACAAAGGGGCTAAAAAGCAACACTGTTGGTACCTCTTAAATTTGTAATGGGATCTGAATCGTAACTATTAAGTCTTATCTGAACTTTAGTTGGTCCATAAATATATATTTATATTTAATTAATATAAATTTATATTTAATTAATATTTGTTTTAAAAATTGTATTTCTAGAGAATCAAAACTTTTAATGTATCTAAATAACAAATAGCTAGGGAAGATTAATTTTACTATACTGCATAATGTTTAATAATTTATTGATGGGATAGATGTATTTCAACTTGAAATAAAGACAAATTGATCCATAAGAATAATTTTACCTATAATCAGTTGATTAGCTAACAGTTTAGTGTACAGTTTACAGTCCATGTTAAGAAATGAAATGGACCTATATGGTGCCAAACCCTAGAAATTTTTGCCCAATTTAAGAAAATCTTATGACAATCCATCAGGGCCAGGAGAAATAGAAAAAGGAGATTCCATAAATTGGATGTCTTCTGCAGCCAATTCTGAAAATGTTAGCCTATTTCAAGATTGATTTTTCTTGATGATTGATTATTTGAGGAATTGTTAAAAAAAAGTTAGAATTGTTCACTTATACCTTTGGTTTTTACCAAGGGCATATGGGAGGACATTGTAGTTGAAGGTCATCTCTAAAACAGAATATTATCAGAGAGGAAAACCATTGCTAATGATTAAATGAAGCCAATTTCATTCACTTCTCCCTCCACCTCTCCATATTTTTATGCCTATTTTTTATTTTTATTTTTCTAAATTGTATATATTTCATTATTTTTCAGTAATATTTGTTCTAATAATGCAAATACTTTAAAAATATTTGATTGATCTGTCTAAGGTTCCTGTATTGATAATGATCTGTACAGATGCAGAACAACAATGTTTTGCAACAATGAATTGTTAAAACTCCGAAGCTGCTACACAAGCAAATCATTAAAACAGACTGTACAGGTGGCACCCATTTGCAGCGCTTCTGTTCCAGATGAACAACAGTGGATAATGAGGCTGTGAAACAAGTACTATAAACATGCACAAAAGCCTTTTCATCAGTTTCCACATGCATAAATATACAAAAAGGAGGCAAAAAGCATGGACAACAAGGGACACTGTACATATTGTTTATTTGTCTGTATAACACCTTGTGAGCAGCCTCATAACTCTTACAAAATGCTCACAAAAAAACAAAAACAAAACCTAAAATATACCATGAAAGAAATGTATTTAGCCAAAGGTAAGGTAACAGGCAACTTGATCAGTATGTTCCAAACACAAGAGTTACAAAGGAGGATAAAAATTTCTTGCATTCTTTATATGAAAATCAAAATAGGATTAACAGACATTGTATTATTAATACCAGATTAGATTATGCAGTTTTACCAAATGATTTTAGGAGTATTGTGCCAGACTGATAAAGTATTTGCATCTGTTCACTTTTCAAAAGCCTGATTTTTCTAAGAACCTTTCTAACAGATGACTTGGAAAGTTCACCAGAACCTAAGACAATATATACTGATAAAGATTTATTCTAACTGTTCTTATTCTAGAAAGACCTAGATCATTTAACACTGTGCACACTGAAGAAGATTTCTATGGTAACAATCTTAATTTTAACATCCTTATAAATACAATAAATACAGTATTGTAAACTTCTGAAATTTTAATTATATTATTTATTATTATTATTATTATTATTATTATTATTATTATTATTATTATTATTATTATTATTATTATTTTGCTTTAATTTATATGCCGCCCTTCTCCGGAGACTCAGGGCGGCTTACAATGCGTTAAGCTTTATTATAAACGTTTTATTTAAAAAGCAACATTACATAAGAAGGTTTGACAAAATTAAGTGTGCAAACTCAGCCTTAAAGCATAGAAGGGAGACATCTGTTCTTCGTATTTAGGCAATAAAAACAAAGAAAAAGAAAAACTCAGGATTTCAGCCCCATTTTTACACCCCACCAAAGGAGTTAGCTCCCTTTCATTCATAGAGGGGAGCTGAAATCCTTTAGCAGGCAGCTGTTTCAGCCATCCCCCAGAAACAAGAGGAAGCTGAAATCTGAATCCAGTGGCTGGAAGATAACTAGTTCAGCTCCATTTCTGAACCCTACCGAAAAAGTTCAGCTCCCAGCGATGAGAAGGATTTTTTTGGGAATCCAGCAAGAAAGATCACAAGTGGCAATCACATGATCGTGCAGACTTAGCAACCAGTTGTGAGAACAGGTTGCCAAGCATCCCGATCACAATCACATGGGGATTATTGATGCAACATTATGTGACAACCAGAAATACTTTACAGGCTGCAAATCACCCTTCCTGAGGTCATTGTAATTCCAGATTATTGTTAAATGAACAGACATATATCAAGAACTATCTGTAGTATGAAAATAAGAGATATGACCAGAGCACTTACTGCGAATTTGCTTCTTGATTTCCTTTGAAGTATCAAGCCAATTCTAAAAAAAGAAATGACATATAATGAAAAATGTAATATTTAATGTGTGTTTTATAGTGTAACTATTATTGATTTATTCAAAATCAGTATATAATATTCCCAGAATTTTTCATCTATCAATTTCTAAACTGCCTCAACCACTGAAGAAAGTTTGGGCTTACAATGTAAGCCTTACATGTTAAGATTTAAACAGCTACAGAAGTAATAAAATACAAAAACTGATAGTAATAGATGTCCCCACATCCTGGAAAATTCAGCAACTGAAAACTATTGTTAACAATAAACAATAAACTGCCAGTGAGTAAATCAATGAACCCTTCCTATCTCTATTAGAAGAGTCACACTTCCACGGCTTTAAACATCTCAACAGCACCGGGGTCATACGAAGCTCAGGGGAAATGATATTTCACAAGATAATACAGCTACATAGAAGACATGGAGTAGCCCCACAGTGAGAGGGGTGGCAAATAAATTTAACAAAATAAATAAATATTGCCTAGGTCTCACAAAATCACAATGCTTTATAATTGGGATATGAAATGTGCCAACCCTTACAGATTTTATTGAACAGGAAGAGATGACAAGAGAAACACTGCCCTGCAGATAACCAAGTCCTAGGCGAATCAATGCTCAATAAGAGACAATATGTTGAACTGCACCCAGAAACCGGCTAGTGTCTTCTGTAGCTTGTAGAGTAGAAATGTTACATGGACAAAAAAGGAACATCCATAACTACTTGTGTAGCCACATTCCAGTTATGGTATCTGAGTAGTCTCCAGGGGAAGCACCATATAGAACATTTCACAGGATTCGAGGATGAAGTGATTACGGTATGAGTGACTGTGAGAATGGCCTGCCAAGGATACAATTGTCACACAAGATAAGTTTGTTCAAAGGCCTTCCTGACCATTACTGTCATTTGCTCTCTGAGCTAGGATCTGAGAATCCAGGAGGGCTCCGAGAAAGATCACAATTTAAATTGAATTACATCTTTTTTTTTTAACTTTCCTTTATGTTAATTTTTTCATTCATTAAAAAAAATGTCCAATTTCCATATACTTCAATACTTATCAATGGTAGGCTCTGAGTATTCAGAATAGTTATCTTTCATTTTGCAAAAGTAAAAGATTTCTATTTGCTATACAATTATAAAATGTTCCTGAAACTAATAAGATAATAGTCAGACAACTGACTATATTGTTCAAATTCTCTCTGTGTAATTTTTGGGAGACACACAGTTTTTTGAAATAAGTCATAGACTGATGAGGCAGTTTTAAACTTATATGCAGGCAGAGGTATCTATAGGATCTAAAACTTCCATCATTTTGACTTATTTAAGATGTTCATGTTGATGAAAGCAGTGTTGTGCTGATGCTTTTTTATTGTCCCCTCCTTTCCAGTGTGATTTAGATATGAATAAGGAATAATTTTTATCTTGGATAAGTTGCTAAGCAAGAAAGATGACTTTTCCTCTTTCCCTCAGGATAGGATATGCACATCAAAGATAGAAACAAGGAGATAAATTTGCAAACCAGATGGAAAACTCAGAGACTGATGTTCTCTGTGCCTATATTAACTGACAATGTAAAATTATTATCTATATATACAAGCAAACTATTTGCTTTTTTACTGAAGACTATGAAATGAAAATGAGATATCTCTCATATTTTCCTGTCAGTGGCTTTCTCTCTAGCTGAGGATTGCTAGTGAGCTGGCTGTTTGTTCACAAACTCTTTCTCCTTCATAAATCACTGTCTTTTCTGAGCAAGTGAAAGGGCATAAAAATGTTTTTAAAAAAGAAAGAAACACAAAGACCTCAAGTGTCTACAACATTTTTTCAAAGATATTAGATTTTATGGTCATAAAAGATAATTTAATTGCTTCTTCAAATATGCAGATAATATGAGAGAATTTCCTTTTAGATTAAATTGCCCTCTACTGTTTTCCTCCTTATAAATTATTTTTCTACAGATACTGTTTTTTCTGTGCTAGTTCATGAAAATAACAGTGCCAGACTTAGCCATGTAAGTGTTCTGATGTTCAGTCTGTCTGTAAATATAGAATGCCAATTAAAATTAGAATAAAATATATTTAATCCTTTACAAAGCAGAAAAGCTAGCTTTCACAATTAATTATTCATGTATAAGATACTTTTTTTCTATGAAAACATTTGATACACAGGTTTTTCTTGCAAATAAATTAAAAATACCTTCTTATTGCCTTCTGAATACTAGTAAAATCCTCATACCGTCTACTTCCTAAGACTGTACAAGCTTAAAGGAATCCAGCCAACATGACAACATGTTATCCCAGGTACTAGGATAGACTCTAGATAGTCACAGGAAAAGTTCAACCTCTTGCAAATTTGAGCCACTTTGTTGACAAAGTACTGTGAAAAACTGTCAAAGCTGCCAAGTGGAAGATAACACTCTCCCAAACTGGGAGATGCCACCCTAAACAAGCCAATCGGGAAACAGCTCATCAACCGCTTCAGTTACTATCACAATGTAGGTCTAAATCTGAACTTGTACTCAGTCAGATTTACTGTCACTTTGTCTCTTGGAGCTCCTTAATAAACCAAGGAGACAGTCAGAATTAATAAGAAAGAGAGGCTACTTAGAAGCAAACTCATTAAAGCTTCCTGTACCCAGTCGTTCATTATAAAAGCAACAGAACTGGCTGCCAAATTGTTGAGATATTCCCTAAGTGTCTTTGGAAATCTCTCTAGATCCACCTGAGACCGTCTATTGTATTAGATTTGTTTGCCCATTGGAGGGCATAGTTAACAGTCAATTTTATTTGAACCAGGAAATCACCTGACTACAGCCAAAGGGTCAAGGTAATTAATATCATTTTTATCCAGATTGTTAATTATCTGATCTTAGATGAACACAAGATCATTTGTATATGATTTGTATAACACAAGTATATGACCATTTATATACATTGGAGTATTATATTTACATAAGATCTAGTATACAACCATTTACATATATTGGGGTGAAGATTACAAGTGGTCACTATTGCATTTACAAATTCCTGAGCCTTCCTGGAAGCCTAGAATGAGGTCACCCAACAAATAATAGGAGAGCAACACTGGCCCTAAGACTTGATCTATAAACTCAGCAAGAGATCCTACCAAGCAATCTTTGTCTTCTAAGGAAACAAAGAGATAATAAAGTTCTTATATCATTTCTGCAGTCAAAAACTGATGAGAAATGGAATCACATCTTTTGACATATATAGCAATGACAGGGGCAGACTCCTAAACAGAGCATAGTATAAGCATAAGACTCCTCTGTATGATATAAACTACAGGACTAGAACTGTACAGATCTGATCCTTGCCTCCTTATCTATTGTACAAATCATCACTTAACCAAACTGAACTCCAATACTTCAGGAAAACATGAAGGATATTTCTTATGTCTCATCTTCTGTTAAATGAAATTATATATTTCTGTGTAATGAACAACTGGTTCTTTTCTGCAGCCAAAGTTAAACATGTTCATCTACCAGACCTTATATGCAAGTTCACCCCCATAAGACAAGATTATTAGTGAGTGTTGCATTCTAATTAATTGTTCAAACAATGATGATGTTATTTATTGCAAATGTATTTTTAAAAGAAAAGTGAAAATTGAAGTTCAAATGCTTTAAGTCAACATTCTCTCCTTCAGCTGATCATATCCATACAGCATCTAGTCTAGGGATCCCCAACCCCCGGGCCATGGATCAGTATCGGTCTGTGGCTTGTTAGGAACCGGGCTGCACGGATGGAGCTGAGCGGCAAGCAAGTGAGCGAAACTTGATCTGTATTTAGAGCCGCATCACCACCTTAGCTCCACCTCAGATCATCAGGTATTAGACTCTCATAGAACCACAAACCCTACTGTAAACTGCACATGCAAGTGTTTCAGGTTGTGTGCTCCTCCTCCACCCCCCTTGATGGAAAAATTGCTCAGTTCAAAATATGACAGCAAGAGATAGCATTATAGTCACCCCCTTTTCTGCTCAGAAATCTGGGCTCCAGACTATAAAAGACTTAAAGTTCAGTAATACATTTCCATATATTACAAAAGTTCTGTGTCTTTTAGATGTCATTCTTACACATTTAATACATACCTTCTGATCTGTATGGTCTTGGAATAACAAGCCAAAATAGTCCCTTTCCAGTAGGTTAAGATGCTCACATACTTTGTCAAACAACACCTGCCCTTTTGCTTTTTTCTAGGAAAAAATAGGATAAATCAATGAAACATTTATATGCTAAATATGTTTTATTTTAAAACACATCAATACCAAAGAAAATGGAACATTGTCTCACCTGAATGTTCATTTTATGATCGTTGCGACGACATTCTTTGATGAGCACTCAGTAAAATCCAATCGAAGTGAAGATGACCCATAAGTAAAGAATGTCGGAGCAACGATGCATGAAAACTACTATGTATTTGTTATCAATGGTTTCAATTTGCTGTTTCAGAAAATAAATAAAAAGAGAATAGATGCTTCATACCCAGCACATAGGAAAGCACTAATTAAAACCAATGGAGGGGAGTTACCAATGGGTAACTGAAATTTAAGTAGGACAAATGAAAAATCAGCAGTAATTCTTAAAATCCTGAAATACTGGGGTATATTTAGGAATCATCAATGTCTCTTAAAATCTTTTTTTAAAAAGGAATCAAATATTTGTTTGTCATCTGAGTCTTTGCTGTATCAAATACAGATAGTCCTCAACTTATGACTATCACTTACCAACTGTTCGAAGTTACAACAGGACAACAAAAAGTACTTACAATCCAGATTTCTGAGTACTGCACACCTCCATGGTCATGAGACAGCATTTCAGGGACTTTTGCTACATACTCAGCCTTGAATTATCTGATATCTTGGTAAATAGCATAAGCCTCATTATTTTTGCTCTTTGCTTTAAACATTAGACTTATGAAAGTCTAATGGTTTTGATTTAAATATTTAAAACAACTGTTAGCCATCAATGTACTGTTGTCTAATGTTAGATTTATAATGAAGAAATATAACACTTAAGTGATTTATAGAATCTTATTTCAGTTCATTCGTTTTCTTTTTCTTTTTGCATTAAATATAATCTTCAGATGCACTTACAACCACATAGCCTCAATAAAACTTGAATCGATTAGAAGATAATAAAAGTTAATAGAATGATTCAGAGTGGCTAAGTGAAACATGAAAGAACCAACATTTTTCAAGTCACTTTAACAAAGATACTTCCCCAACTACATAAAAATAAAAAGAATAACTAAAACGTTAACATTTTAAAGAATATAGGATATAAGATACTGATAAAATAAATTATCAGAAATAACTGCTTTGATTGATATGAATTTTGATATTTCCATGTGACACAGAATGTCAGAGAAAACTATTACTGTTTTAAATAATTTGGGGCAGCAAAAATACACAACAAGCAAATAGATAACATGTCAAAAGGTTTGTTGAAAGGTTTGTTCTTTTTTCTGCATCGAATATTGTATATAATTTTATTAATAGTAAATTAATAATTAGTACTATTAAATAGTAATATTTATTAATTATTAATATTAATGAGATGCAGCACGATATAATTATAAACATCCAAAGGAGAAAATTTAGGGCATTCAAAGTACTGTAGTTTGATTTGAATTAATAAATGAGAACAGACAACTTGCCTTTCTGGCTTTTCAAGATTTGTTGAAACATTGAAATAGTGTCTGCTACTGGCAGAATTCAAGAGGTGCAGTATGGTGCCTTTCATTTTCAAGCAAGTCCTACATCCCTATTTGGCTATTTATGGCATTTAAAAAGCCATAATGTGACATTTCTGAGACCTGGCAACTGAAAGGCATTTTTGCAATTGCTTATCACGCAGATTTTAGTAGACGCCACTGCAATTCCAGAGAAGTCCCTTCGAGTGCCTATGTGTAGGCTCTTGCAACACTAAAGTTATTGTGCCTGACAGTCAGAGACAGAAAGCTCTAAACTGAACGAATTATCTATGCTGTTGAGCTATGTGCTACACAGTAGTTGTGAGAAACACTGTACAAATACAAAGGACAAGGGAAAAAAGGTATGCAATAAAACTACCAAGCTCAATAAAAGCATTGTTTGTTGTCCAAAAGAAATCAAAGCACATTCATACCGAACTGAACTGCTCAATTTATATTCAGCATTTACAATTTTAACTGGATCATTCAGTTTTATCTCATCAGCTGAAACACAAGGAATAATGCAAATAAACCCCCCTGCACCGCAAAACTATTTCTAATAATATACTCAGGTACAATGTGTGTGTGTAGTTTTTTAACTTGTATTTACTGCTCAAGAGATTTTACCTGTCACCTTAAGCAGGACTTTAAAATGTAATAACAAATAAATCCAAGAAATTAAATAACCTAGTCCAAATTGGGTTAAATATGTAGAAAGTTCCAGTTTAGACTTGTATTGAAAAAAGGTCATCTATGTGCCAAACATATTAAATTGAAATAAGTTTTCTTTCTTATGTAAAAAAAACTTGAAAAAGGATTAGAAAGGAGTGAAATATTTTTGGCTATAAAGTTAGCTATCACACAATCACATAAGTCATGTACTGTTGTTGTTGTTATTATTATTATGATACTTCCTACTGAATTTACAGCTGCTAAATCTTCAGTGTCCAGAAGATAATCATAGAGTACATAACCAGTTAAATCTTGTATTCTTATTTTGTGCTCCTGGTGCTACATTTTTGCCTTCCAAATACTATTTAAGATTCTAGTAAGTAAAACCCTGGATATTTTCCATTTCACTATAAATACAATTTTGCCAAATGACTCTCAGCAATTATAAAATCCAATTTGCCACCCAATTTTACTTAATATGATTACTCAAACTTAGGTTTCAAAAACATCATTTTACTTGGCAGGTTACCATTCAAAAACTCTCCTATATAAGCAAAAATTCTATAAAGTACATGCATTGTATGACCATTATAATCTTGGGTAGTATTTAGTTAACAGTATTTTGTTGAAAGTACATTTAAAAATGTTACTTTTGTTGAAGATTTTGTTAGAACAATCCAAAGAAAATGTACTCATGCTGAGAAAATATTGATCTTAAATCTATCATCTAAAAACTGATTTATAGCAAAATATTTAAATAAATAAATTCTCTTTAATCGGATCAATGAGCCATCATGGACTAGTATCATGGACTAGCAAAATGACAATGTTTAGCAGAAAAGTAGCATAAACTGAATTCTAACTGCTGGAAGCTTCTCAGTCGTATTTTGTATTAAAAGATCAATGTGAAAAACTCTGTCAGAAGGGATGTTTTACATATAGCTTTAGTCTATCTCAAGTTTAAAATGAAAATAAAACAAGTATGTTATTTCATTTTACATTATTATAGCTATGTTTCTAAATTTAACACTATATATTCATCATTGCCAAATCTTTTTTACAGAAAGCTCAGTTTGAGACAAGAAAAATACTTGGAATAATTTAAATAGAGTTTATAAGTTTTAAACTATAAATAAAAAAAAATATTTTAGCATTTTGCTGGAACACAATAAGATTGATTGAACAACCTTCATGTTTAAAAACATACTTGATATAGCTTATTATGGCCAGGAAATCACTGGCAAATTGTAAGACATATGGTACTTGAGCATTTAATTTTTTATAAGATAGCAAGTGCAGTCTTGCACTTCAATCAAGCAAACTACAAAATTCTTGAAACAGTTATGTCATGCCCAATATACTTCAGTTGTTCAGACGTGCATAAAATATAGCCATGCAGTCATATTTAAATGTCCTTGTCATAACATTTTAATTAGAACAGAATGCCCTGTGTAGAATGCTCTAATGAAAATTGTATTTGCTTTGGAAAGAGTTTTTACAATACGTTGGTTGCCTAGATCTCATTATGGCATTTTTTAGACTTGATAAATAGTTATATGATTGGGTGCCTAAAATGAACTATAATAAAGCTTGTACATAATCTCAAACATATATTTAGATATTTTAATTTAATGAATAAAGGTGCAGTTACTGGATTTAGTATTTTCTACTTATTAACAAATACCATACCCTGTGTTCTACTAAATTGCAAATAACCAAAAATATAGAGCAATGAAAATATTAAACATTAACCTCTTTCATAAGACTGAAAGTAATTCCTCTTTCATAAGACTGAAAGTTATTCATCTATAAGAAGGAAGCAGGGGCAGAGAGAAAGCCGGAAATAGTCTGAAACATATTTGTGAAGGTGCAGCATTCTTGTATTTATATATCGATATAATAAATATATAGAGAGAGAGATATGTCATATATATGACTTGGCTGCAACTCTTCTTTTTAACATTCAAATATTTCATAGCAGTCAGAGACAAAATAAGTTCCTTAATTTGGACAAATATACCTACAACATATCCATAAAGGGAAAGTGATAGAGATAAACACAATAGGTTACATAGATTTCTCAGACAAGTCATAAATGTCAAGTGTCAATGTTAACATTTTACAAGGTTATTCTAGTGTTGAAATGTGGCCTAATTCAACCATTTGAGCTGCATCTGCTGCCTTATTAATTTTGGTTAATAAACTTTGGTTAAAGTTTGTTTTAAACTTTAAAAAGAAAACATCTTATGTCTTGCGTAGCAAGACAAATATAGATTTTTTTTCATTTTTATAAAGAACATTTTGATCGCAACATCTGTGGTTGATCTGCCATTTTTTAAAGAATATTGTAACATTTTCACTTCTTTTTCCTTGGTTTAAAGTGACATATACATTGGTTTCTTCAAATAAATCAGCACATTTTCCATAGTTTGTCCTTGTCCTTTATGTATAGTAAGAGCTAAGCATGACTGTATTGATAAATACAATTATTGGAATCATGACAATGTTATTACTTGATGACATATTTTGTGAGATGGGCGGCATATTTATTATTTAATTTATTTTAAAATATGACACCGAGATGACAATTGAACATCTTCAATAGCTGTGCATTATCAGGTACCACCCATTGAAAAGTTATAGTTCAACTCTATCCTGCTTCAGATCCTTCATATTCTTCCATTTCTGAAGACCATCTCCTGCAACGAGGATACAAATTTTATGCTCATTGAATGGCTTTGGCTATCTCCTACTGCATGTACCGTTTTTCTAAACAGAGTTTCTACTGCAATATGTCCTTCAATACCAATTTATGCAGCTCTGTATCTTCATTTGAGTCTGGTATTTTGGCTTGCACAAATGTTATCATAATCTTGGGGTCTTGGCTTGGATGCTTCATCAGGCCAGTGTAGAGTACAAATGAGACAGACCTTGTTTTTGGTATTCCAAACTTAGCATGTCCTAAGGATCCATAAAGCAAATTTAAATAAATGTAATTTGCTGGTTGGGATCTGGCATCATGCCTGATTGAATTATGGATTTGCCCTTGAAAAGACCCAGAAGGATTCCATTCATTCCACATTGTAAGGATTTTTTATGGCACCAAACAATGTCATTTGGAAAAGGCAGTTGTACTGTCTGATGTTCTTCCAGACTTTGCTATATAAACTGAGGAGTTCATTAGGTAGAGGTTACAAATTGCCCCATCCTGACCTTTTCTTTCATATAGCAAAAATGGGTTTCTCCAGTAAACAAGAACATATGACAAGAGCATACTCTGGCCATGGCATCAATATCAGCGGAAATAATACAATGTGCAAGTTGTGCATTTTGCCTTGTTCTTTTTCTGTTGAGATTTTTGTTGTTGGTAGTTGTCCTGAATGGAGAGATCCAGTAATGGCCTCTTGAGAAGGGAATATACTATCAACTATTCCAAGGCTGGAGGAATTACATCCTACCTCAAAAACGATAATAACACTGCATGAAATTATCCGTTGGTCATCTCCCAAGCCACCCTGATAACTCAGGAGAGCCCAGAATTTAACAATCATGTGGTTGAACTAGCAGATTAAAGAACCTTATCCATGTGCTCAGTGTTACAAAACTGAATTCAGTCCAGATGACTTTACAAATTTGTGCTATGGGCAACTCAACTTGTGGCTTGGACTGCCAAGTCAAATTCCAAATCCAAGTGACTACCAAAAAGCATTAATACTCCTCACTGTGGTCCCGTAGATGGTTCTGTGGCAGAAAAAAATGCTGATTTAACATGTACAACAATTTTAGTATTAGAAGTTGAAGAGTTCTACATGGGCATGTGAATGTTCCCAACACAAAGAATATGGCTTGACTGATGATTAGTGAAGCAGGTTTTATAAGTATAGCAGAAAAGAGATTTCTTTACAACTTAGGGACAGGAAAGTCATATTAGTAGGTGAATTTTTTAAAAAAGCAAATGTTCTGTATCTATGCACCAGGGAAGGAAAGACAAAAGGAACTAAATACAGATTAACAATCTTTTAGACAAAAAAAATTCTAAAATGATGGACACAGATCTAAAGTAATCCTTCTATCCAGACCCAACTGCCTCATTATGATCAGTAGATCATGAAGTGTTAAAGAGCCGGTGCCATTGGATTTGGACCTCCCACAAATACATCCTGGCACTACTGATTCATGAGTCAATTCAGTATCCAATTCTTTCCCAAAGCCCTGCAGAACAGCCAAAGGAAGAAAGAGGTAAAATTTTCATAAAGGGTATCATAATAGGAAGCCCACCCTTGGGATCCCTGATGACATTACCGGGATGGGGGGGAGGTACACAACGCATGGCAAATAATCCCTTCTTGATATTAATAGATGAGCAAATTTCCCTCCTTCTCTGCACACAGCTTTCCTTTGAGAATCTAAACTAAGCCTACTCTCGGCTCTTATCAGCAAAATTAGTACAAATTTTGTTTTTTGTTTTTTTTTAGTTAGCAAAACAATGTGGTAGAAAACAGATATGTCACATAATGTACAATTGGAAGCTCTTAAAGTTTCTAAACAGGGTGGATTTGATTTAAATCAAGGCAATTTAAATCATGATTTAAATCACTAGTAAAATGGCTTGATTTCAAATAACTCGCTTTAAATTATAATTTTTAAAGAGCAACTGTCATCTCTGTCCCATAGGGCTCCTCTTCTGACCCGCTGTTGACTCACCGACAGTCCCAATATTGCAGAATATACAGGCTCATGCTACATAACTGAGTTCCATTTCATGCTGAATGAAGTAAATTATTAATGTATCTTAAATAGAAAACTATCTTTAGATAGATTTTTACTCCAAAAGAATTTTATTAAAATAAAAAAATCTGATTTAAATTTTTAAAAAATCCGATTTTTTGATTCTTTTTAAAAAATCAATTTTTATCCACCTTATTTCTAAATATATTGATGTGTTAATCAACGATTAAAACGAATAATACAAAAAGTAACTTTGCCCACTTTGTTCAACTGTACATAGAATGCCAGATAAATTCCACAGCGTAGTATTCCTGCTGATTACTAGATCCTCAGTAATTTTCTGACTATTTAGGGATCAAGGAAAGGCTGCCTTGATATCAGTTAAATCCAGTGAGCAAGCATTGTCTTCCTGACGGAGGATGGCCCAAACTACACCTATTGCAAGTTGAAACAACCCACAGTAAATCATTTGCAATGCTTAGAATCTTATAGAACTGACACTAATCTCTATGAATAATTTAAAAAATTCTGTCCTCTTCTATAACAATTGTTCACATACCCAATGCCATTAGGAATTGTGATCCCTGCATAAGTTTCTGCAATTCTAACATGCAAGGAAAAGCAAAATATATTTAATAAGGGCTGTGAAACAGTCATTGGTAAGGTTTTCTTATGAATTTCAGATGGCTGGTAAAAATGTTCCTCTATAGGAAATAAAAAACTATTACTGCTGACATGAGATTCATTATAAACCTTTATTCTGATTTTAATAAATTAATAAATTCTGGTACATACCTATGTCTCAAAAACCTGTTTTATAAATTACATATGAGCATCTTCTACAAAAATGCATGTCAAACTCAAATGAAAGAACTGATTATTAATCAGTTGTATAATATAATAAACATTTGAATTTCAAAGATAATTGCTATTCTTCTCCAAAAGTATATAGTTTAACATTCAAAACAGGTTCAGTGCCAAAGAAATTGAAGGTAGCTGGTATAATACCAGGTTTCAAAGAGACCTAGCAAGATCTGGAAAGGAAATTATAGTCCTGCCACTTTAACATCTGCTTTATGCCACTTGACAGAAGTGGTAATCAAAGAAAAAATAAATAGGTTCATAGAATAAGCTTAGTTGAAGAAAAATCAGCATAAACAAATCCTAATTCACCAACCTTTCAGAGTTTTCTAAGAAAACAATAGGACCTGGATGGAGGTGACCCTGCTGTTACGGTATACTTGGATTTTCAAATGTGTTTAACAAAGTTCTTCATCAATGTTTCTGAAACTTAGTGGTCATAAGATAAGAAGAAATGCTTTTTATGGATTGCTAATTGAATAAAAATACAAAACAGCGACTAAATGGGTAACTTTTTAATAGAAGGACATAAGAATATTCTTGGAGCCAGTGATTTTTAAGATTTTGGCTTATGAATAAATGACAAATGGGGTATTTACCATGGGTTAAATGCTACTGACTTCTGGATAATATTAAGCAGTCTGGCATCATAAGAACCAAATGACTATGAAGAAAGTCCTAAAGATTCTTTTCTTGATTTGGTAAATGTTTACCAAATGACAAGTACAGTTTAAGTAAACAAACTGATGCACACTAGGGCAAAAACCCTAAATTCATACATGAGGACTGAACTGTTTGTAAGTAATCAGAAAAAATGCTTTTCGGGATATAGTGGATGGCTAAATTAATATTGTTGACAACTATTACAAAAAAAATTTCCATGCTATGGATCATTAGAAAAAAAACCACAGAAAATTAAAATTCTAACACTGAAATGATTTTATATAAATCTATTTTGCATTGGGATGCTGTATATTATTAACATATAACACATTACATGTTTTAGTCCTCATTTCTATAAAAGTATTGCACTTACTTCCTCTTAGAGAAAAAAATAAATAAAGCTCACCAGCTTACCTCAAGGTCACAACTGTATTCTGTGCCATCCAAAAGCACTACTTTAGCCTGTACTATCCTGATCTTCTTAGGAGTTTTTTGAAGCATTCTTTCTATTTTGATTTCACTTGTTTGCACCTCTTTTGTCTCTCTTTTCCGATCTTCTGTGTTTTCAGTAGCTTCAGAAACAATTTCTTTGTCTTCTTTATCAGACTGTGCAAGGAAATGTATATTACCATACAATAATATTATAGTTACAGAATTTAAATTTAATCAAACACACACACACACACACTTCAAATTACAATAGCAGATAATCATTAAGATATACATATATATGTTTTCTCTATCATTTTGCTCAGAGAAAATACAAATTGTCTACAGAAAAAACTTTCAGGAGGCATCAAGCATGCGTCACTAACGATAAAACATTTTTTTTTCATATTTCAGGCAAGTAAAAAAAAAATAGACAGAATCAGGACAGATATTCTGAGATGCTATTGCATGAAAGGAGAGGAGAGTGGCCACAAAGAACCTAAAGATATGATAAAATGGTGCCTCGACTTCTTTTTAAAGTTCAGTTAGGTCTCAATATTCTGAAATACAAATTTGTCTCACTAGTGCACATACGGTCCAGATTGAGAGTTCTGAAACAGCTTCCATTGAATATGGGGCTGCTGTGGCTTGAGACAAGCATGTGACTTTCCATGTTCATATACTGGCTTAGAAAAAAACCTCATAACAAAGAAACCATATGACAGTATGTTTTAATCTATGCTGTATGAGATCTATGGAGTCCTTAAATAACTCAGACATGGAACTGCAATTCAACCTAGCAACTGTCCCTTTAGACTACCAATCTTAGAGAACAAATTTCTAGGACACTTAGTTAACCTGTTATGTTGAGACCTTGGCTTACCCGACTATAAGAAAAAGAATTATTTCTTTTGTTGGAGGGCAAACAGAAGCAAAGGTATTACAAGTGGAAACACACACTTAAGTTTGTTCATCTGAAAATAATATCTAGTTACAAGTCTAGTTTCATTTTGTCTTTCCTCATCATTTCTACATCTTTGCCAGAATCCGAATCATTGAATACTCTATGCAAACAAGTGAATACATTTCCTTCTTTAAGAATAAAAAAAACTTATCTATACAGCTAGCCTATTCTGCTTCAAGCAGCAACTACCTGTAGGCTTCTCAGCAGTCACAAATGTGTTATGAATGCAAAAGACTTTACAATAAAGGGAGCCACAAATGTTGCTACCTATCATACATATTGCATCATTTAAGCAAGTTACTTAACATCTGTTTTCATATGTTTGAAAAATAAATTATATAAATTAGGAAGACCTGAACCAGGCAAAATTGGCTGTGGAGGGAGGGGGAGGACCTGAGCAAAAAGAATTACAAGGAGAAAAAGCAAGGATGATGCAACCTGAATATGTTTTTCATTGTTGTAACCGGCTTGCAGATTAAAGGTTGTGGAAAACTGAATCATATTAATACATTACTATGAGAAAGAATCCCTAGTGCCGTGTAATCGGGTGAGCTCCCATTACTTGTCCCAGCTTCTGCCAACCTAGCAGTTCAAAAGCACATACAAAATGCAAGTAGAAAAATAGGGACCACCTTTGGTGGGAAGGTAATAGTGTTCCGTGCGCCTTTGGCGTTTAGTCATGCCGGCCACATGACCATGGAGACGTCTTCGGACAGCACTGGCTCTTTGGCTTTGAAATGGAGATGAGCACTGCCCCCTAGAGTTGGGAACGACTAACACATATGTGCAAGGGGAACCTTTACCTTTTTATGAGAAAGAAACTGATTGAAAAATGAAACGATCTTCATCTGGTTTGAAATTAAAAAATGTACCCAAAGTTACAGTGTTTGAAAACAAAACAAAACTGAAAAGCATTTTACTTACCTACCCAAATCCTGGAGAAAATTTACCTACATTGTCTCTAAGAATGACACCAATTTGATGGCAACACAGGTAGTTTTCGCTTAACTGCCACAATTGGAATCTTGGTCGTTGAAAGAAGCAGTCATTAAGGAATATGTCACATGACCACTTCACTCAGTGGCCAAAAATCTCATCATATTCAGTTGAAGTTATTAAGCAATTTTGTGGGTTTTAAAGCAGAAAAAGTCTCAGATAAGAAGCATGGATTGCCTCTCATTTCTGGGGAATGGTTGAAAAAGGCCCATCCCGAAATCCAAGGAGGATTTTGGCACAGAACATCTGCAGTATGCGACATTTACAGCCAGCTGCTAGAAACAAGAGGGAGTCCTTTTGTCTTGGGGCTGGCTGAGAAAGATCTGTCCTGAAATCCAAGCAGGATTTTGGCACGCCTCGTGCTGCAAACACTCTGTGCCAAAATCCTTGGATTTCAGGACAGACCTTTTTCAGACAGCTTTCAGAAACCAATGGAGACCTGTTATCAACCTACACAACAACCCACAACATTGCACAGTATTACTTGTCTTACTGTTTCTTATTTAAAAGTAAAGCTTTCCTCTGTACCGTCATGCCTCATGCTAGGGGGCAGTGCTCATCTCTATTTCCTAGTCAAGGCAGCCAGCATTGTCTGAAGACATTTCCAGGGTCATGTGGCCAGCATGACTATATGCCGAAGGTGCATGCAACACAGCGCTCGGGTCTTGAACCGGGGCTGTCAGCTTTCCAGCTAACAAGCTCAGTATCTTTAACTGCTGAGCCCTTACAATCCCTTAGTTTCTTATTTAATCATCAGCAAACAAGAAAAACCTGTATTCTAGTTTATAAAGATTAGGTAAATTTCAAGGCCTTTTAAAATAGTACAATAGCTAGATTTTGCTGAATCTGAAGTAACAAAATTATAATATTTGGTTAGGTAGAAATGAACAGTATGATTCACTGCCAAATCAAAATACACCTCAGAATGAATGGTATTAACTCATATTAACAAAAGAAAACGTAACATAACAGTAGCCACAACAATGCTGAGGCCACTAAAGTGTGATTCCTAAAGTTTGTTTTGTTTTTCTTTCTAGGATGTACCTGTGACTCAACATGTTTTTCTTCTTTATCACTACCCACTTCAGCTTCTTGAAGATTCTCAGAAATGTCCTCTAATTTTCCTTTAGATTGAGCTTCTTCTTCTGAAAGATGACCTTCTCCTTCCTCCACTGCTGTCTCTTCTTCTGATGCTAGATGCTCTCTTTTCTTAGTTTCATCTTTGGGTTCTGATATGCTGTATGATTTTTGTTTCTTAAGCCAGGGAGGGATAAAACGAGAAATGCCCTTTCCTCCTGAGCTTTTAGGGCTCTTTTGGGTAGCTGCAGTTGGAAGGACAGGAGAACCTTCTTCTATTTGTTTCTGATCTTCTTGACTTTCTGGTGCATCTCCAGCATTTTCACTTCCTGTGTTAGTCCTCAGATTCTCTGATTCTTTTACTTCACTATCTGAACCACCTTCAGTCGTCATTATCACTGGTTGCCCTACAAAGATACAATATATTTTTTTTGTTTAGAACATTTTTTAAACATATGAATTTTTGGTAATTCCAATCAATTGATATAGGCCTCTAGATAAAGTACAATATCAAAAGCTCAATTTTGGGTTACTGAATCGTTTTGGTAAAAATGCAAAAAATATGCTGCAAAGTACTAGCATGATGTATAGGTAATGAAAGTTGATAATAATGCAGAAAGTAGCTAATATGTACACATGTACTATATATTTCACATTTTAAAAGATTAATATCAAATATGTGTCATCAGATGCACCAGTTTTTTAATCCCTACAAATATAATTAGAAGCTGTTTATATGCATTTCCTCAAATACTGTTTAAGTAACATATTTTATTCTTCCACCTGGAACATCATCCTTACTAGGAAAAATGTTAACTGAACTCAGTGGGACTCATTTCCAAGTAGACATGTATAGAATTATACTAGCAGTGAAGTCTAAAAGGCATTTACTGTGGGTCGTTTTCACTTTCAATTTTATTGCAGTTAATACTGGAAATTACAAAATGACACAAAATATTAAAATATTGGAAATATTAAAGGGGATCCTTAAAGAATGGAACCATAAATTAGTAATCACAATATCAACTTTGTCAGTAATGGGGTCTACTTCTGTGGACAGACCACATCTAAACGATGTTAATGAAGGAATGACAGACGTGGAATAAAATAAGATGTAACGATGTATTTACCATTTCTTAGGAATTCACTACATTTTAGTAAAAATGTTGGTGTATCACTATACCATTTTTTGCAACTCTGAACTACAGAGTATATCATTTCAAAGTGAATAGAATAGAATAGAATAGAATAGAATAGAATAGAATAGAATAGAATAGAATAGAATAGAATAGAATAGAATAAACAGAGTTGGAGGTCTTCTAGTCCAACCCTCTGCTTAGGCAGGAAACCTTATACCATTTCTGACAAATGGTTAACCAATCTCTTCTTAAAAACTTCCAGTGTTGGAGCATTTACAACTTCTGGAGACAATTGTTCCACTGATTAATTGTTCTAACTGTCAGGAAATTTCTCCTTAGTTCTAGGCTGCTTCTCTCCTTGATTAGTTTCCACCATTGCTTCTTGTCCTGCCCTCAGGTGCTTTGGAGAATAGCTTGATTCCCTCTTCTTTGTGGCAGCCCCTGAGATATTGGAACACTGCTATCATGTCAACCCTAGTCGTTCTTTTCATCAAACTAGACATACCCAATTCCAGTATCTGTTCTTTATATGTTTTGCCTATAATTACAAAATGACACAAAAAACACAAAAAGGTATGGTTTTGAACTACACTATTTGATTTATTCCAGGATAAACAATTTGACCACTCATTACTCATATTAAAACTGTGTATATAAACTTGGACTATTAGTCAAAAACACACTTTTATTTTGCAACAGACTGGAATCAATTCATGCTTTCCTATTACTGAAAATTCTATTTCAAAGGTTTTTGACATATTGATTTATTTAATTTCTACAGCAGAAGTTATATACGGTTTTGGGGAAATCAAACCAGTATATTCAATCAGTGGTTTGCAAGTCTTAGATACTACAAATGATGCAATTGTAAGATGAAAATCCAGTCTCTATTATGAGTAAGAGTAGTCCTATCCAAGCCCCAAATTTGCTGGAGAATTCAACCTTAACAGAAAATAGAAAATGTTTTCTATTCCTTTCATTCTATCATAAATATGTATGAAATAACCTTGCTTCCATTTATCTAATCTCAAAAGAAAACATGAAACAAAACAAACAAAAACAATTAATCATGGCATGTCTAGTTACCAGACAAATCTGCTACTGTTTGGATCTATTACTGATCTATTACTATTATTGGATCAGTTACTGAAATGTACACAAATTTGTTCTCAGAATTCAAAGCAAATAATTATGTAAATATTCTTAACCTATAGCATATGCAAACTCAAAAGAACTAGTTTCTAATCTTTCTAGAAGCAACAGTTCTGCCTGTTAAGGAATGCTGGCTGGCATAGACTAGGAGACATATCTTCTCTGACATAGCCCTTGGCCTCTGGAACATTCTCTCTTGAGAACTGACAATGACCCCAAACTGCTGGACTTTTGGAAGCCGGTTGTAAGTTGTTGCAGTCATAAAATCAAAGTATTCAAGTGATCATTGTGGTCATTAAGTGAATCATGTGGTTGTTAAGCAAACAGCACAGCTGTTAAGCAAACACATTCTTTAAATGGGTTTTTTGCTGGAAACTGACAAAAAGTGGACCAAAAATCCTCATAAATTGTGGTTATAAAGGTGAGCCATTTGCTAAGTCCTCAAAATGTAGTTATATGATTGTGGGGGTAAACGTTTTACAATGGCCGGAATTGCAGAGAGATTATACATTATGCCAGGCCTTCAAGGTAATCCAGTAATTGCATACAGATAATCCTTGATCTACAACTATTCATTCAGCGGCTGTTTAAGTTGCAACAGTGCTGAATGAAGGGATTTACAACTGATCTCTGAAGTTGCAACCACTGCAATACATGATCAAAATTTGGGTCCTTGGCAACCCGTCCACATTAATGACTACAGTGGGGCTTCAATTCTTTTAGCCATCTTGCACAGCAGCACTCCTTGGTAGGGTTGGGCTGAAGTAGAGTCAGCTAGCTGCCACTGACTGTACTTCATCCCCATACTGCCACTGAGAAATAATGTTTCAAGTCCCATATCACAGCCAGCCAGCACAAGAGCACAACACAAAACCCCATTTCCCCCTGTCATCCAGTGCTCTATAGCCCTGCCACACCCTGTACCTAGAGATCAGGGTAGCACAAAAATAGTATAGGACAGAGTAAATCTATACAATTGTCCATGATTGTTGTTCCGCCCCTTGGTATGATGAATTTCTTTCTGCTTTGAATGCCCAAGGGTTCAGGTTTCATTCTTGTCTTCTTCAAGCACTACTAGGAAAGAATCCAGTTTGAAACTATGGGAAGCAACTCTATCTATATACACCAATACTGATATAAAGTGAGTGGGTATGATCTAACTGGGTATAAAACAGCACTCTAAAACAGCAGCCCCCAACTTTTTGGGCACCAGGGACTGGTTCAGTGGAGAGAGGTTTTTCTGTGGACACGTGGTTTTGAGTACTACCTGCTTCCCACGGATGGGGTTTCACTTGTTTGTGTGGCCCGGTTTTTGGCATGCCGCAACGTGGTGCCGAGGCGACTGAGGGCTGGGGACCCCTGCTCTAAAACATGTCATTAAACATGTGATCCTTTTCCTAATAAATGATGTAAAGTTATTCAACAAATGAAAAAGATACAGCTGCAAAAATCTCTCTAACATTTTGAGACTGTTTTATTGTATTTCTCTATGCAACATAGTCAAATGAAGAAAGCAGACTTAAAAGAATGGATTATCACATCCTATACAGAAACCCTCTAACTCTGGAAAAATTCTTGTGGACAATAATAATGAAGGAATTATTGTATCATCAAATGATTAAAGTAAAAAACATATTTCCAAGATAAAATATCTGAAAGAGGCAATAATGTGGAATGGAACATTACAAAAAAAAGTTAATGTACTTTATTTTTCTGAAGAAAAAACAGTACTTTACAGTACTTTACTTAACAGTAATGAATTATGTTAATTTTAAAGACTATGAGACAAGTTGTCACTTTTACATTTTAGTGCTTTCCATGTGATTCATACATAGAAATCTAGTATCTACTGTATACTACTAATCAAACAATAAATCTTCTAATGCAAATTATTAATGTCTAGTTGGCATAGGGAAAAAAATCTTACTCCATACTAATTCCTAAAAAAATATACAAAATCATTACTCCAGAATAAAGAGAAATTCTATGTCCAAAGCAAGTACAGACCAAGAAAAATATGTATATTAGCCGAAGTTGTATATGCTATGCATACAAATAAACATATGCGATGTAACTCTGTTACAATTGAGCAAATCCCAACATGTCCCTGATTACCTCTGAATGTAAGTCAACAAACAGAAATAGCAACTGAGAGAAAAACTAAAAACATCAGTGAACTGAATGAACTTAAGGTCAAAAAGAAGTGGGAAATGACTCATCAAACCCATTTGCTCTGGTATTTTCCTCATGCCAGATTCCACAGCTATTTTCATGAGGCAACATTAAGTTTCTTTGTACTTTAGATTTGTCATGACAGACAAATGAAGTTTCTCAGTAAATAAGGAGAATGAGTACACAATTCTTTTGCCTTTAGCAAACCTTTGCTGATGGCCTAGAAAATTTTTATTTGCTACAGTTGGATAATTTGAGGTGTTAATTACAAATCTAACAGAATGCTTTATGAATTTGAGTGTTTCCTGGAGAAAGGGATAAATTGGAAAGCAAATAGAATTTCAGTATAGCAAAGGCAGAGGGCCAAAATATGATTTAGATGAAACCTATCAAAATTCTTGAGTACTTAAGAATTGCTAATATATTTTTGTAATGACAGATAACCTGGACACAGATTTTCAATCATTTAAAATAAGTCATAAACCAGAATTGTAACAAAATAAGAACATATAAAGATTAAAATGAGATTCTTGTTTAATTTCCCAAGCACTGCCATTTAATCTACATTACAGGAAGTCCTTGACTTACAACAGTTCATTTAGTGACCGTTTGAAGTTACAACATCATTGAAAAAAGTGACTTATGACCTTTTATCGCACTTACCACCGTTGCTGAATCCCTATAGTCATGTGATCAAAATTCAGATGCTCGGCAACTGGCTCATATTTTTGACAGTTGCAGTGTCCAGGGGTCATGCGATCCCTTTGATAAGCAAAGGCAGATTCAGTTAACAACCATGTTACTAACTTAACAACTGCAGTGATTCATTTTACAACTGCAGCAAAAGAAGTTGTAAAATGAGGCAAATGTCTCTTAACAAATGTCTCACTTAGCAATATAAATTTTGGGCTTAATTGTGGTTGTAAGTCGAGGACTACCTGTAC